TGGTCCCGTTGTTTTGGATTAAAGGCTTAGGACAATCTTATCATCATCTGTTTGCCCAAGAAAAAGAGTAACATTTAATCTTTGAAGTGGTTTCTCTCTTTTTAAAAAATGTTACTTTAAAAATGTTTACTTTATCCCCCATTATGAATGTGGTCTATACTTAGTATAAAATGTTTTAAAAATTGAGAAAAAATAATTGAAAAGATCATCCATGGGCTTCCCTGGTGGCGCAGTGGTTGAGAGTCCGCCTGCTGATGCAGGGGACGCGGGTTCGTGCCCCGGTCCGGGAGGATCCCACATGCCGCGGAGCAACTAGTCCCGTGAGCCATGGCCGCTGAGCCTGCGTGTCCGGAGCCTGTGCTCTGCAACGGGAGAGGCCACAACAGTGAGAGGCCCGCGTACAGCAAAAAAAAAAAAGATCATCCATAATCATGTGTTTTGGTAATTTCTTTCAGGTTTTTAATCATTACTTTAAAAAAACTACTTACTAAGGAAAAACACAAGTGCACAGAAAAGGAGAGAGGATAGTACATTGACCCTCTGGTAATTGTCACCCAGCTCAGCACTCATAAACTCATAGCCAACCTTGTTTCATCTGTACCCTCCTCCCAACTCCCTCTCTTTCAACACTCAAGTATTTTAAGCAATTCCCAGGCATATTATTTTGTTGGTTTTTCAGTATGTTAAAAAAATTTTTTTTCCACTTCAGAAAGATTAATAATTTCTTAATATTACCAACTAGCCAATTAATGTTTAGATTTCCCTGTCTTATTTAAAAATTGTTGTAAAACAGTTTGTTCAAATCATGATCTGGACGTTGTACTGATTGATAAGTCTCTTTTTTTAAAAGTTTTACTTTTGAAATAATTTTAGACATAAAGATTCGAAATAATAACAGAGTTCCCATGTATCCTTCGTCCCGCTTCCCTAATGTTCACGTTTCACATAACTATGGAACACTCAACAGAATCAGGAGATTAACACTGATACAATATTGTTATCTGCAGACTGTATTTGAATTTTGCCAGTTCTCCATTAATGCCCCTTTTCTGGTCCAGGATCCACATTGCCTTTAATTGTCATGTGTCCTTAGTTTTGTCTAATCTGGGACAGTTGCTCAAGTCATTGTCTTTTGTGACCTTGACTCCTTTGAAGAGTACTGATCAGTTATCTTGTTACTGTCCCTCAGTTTGGGCTTGTCTGATGTTTCTCTCATGATTAGATTGAGGTTATACATTTTTGGCAAGAATAGCATAGACGAGATATGTCATATCTGGAGGTGCACAATGTCAGTCCGTCTTATTTCTGGTGCAGTTAGTGTTGGTCACTTGGTTAAGGTGGGGGTCTCCTGGGTTTCTCCGCAGTAAAGTTACTATTTTCCATTTGTGATAAGTATTTTGGGGGAAATACTTTGACACTATGTAAATGTCTTGTTTCTCCTCATACTTTTAAGCATCTTATTGATGACCCTTACCTACAACAGTCATTACTGTGGTGTTTGCTTAGTGGTGATTTTCCATCATTCCTTCTACACTTATTAGTTGTAATTCTACTGTAAGGAAGGACTGCCCCTTCTCCTGCAGTTATTTATTGTATAGTTGTTTATATCAGTATGGACTCATGGATATTTGTTCTATTCTGTAGGTTGTTAAGCCGTTACTATCGTGTTTTATTTTCTTGTTCAGATTGGCCCAGATATGGCCATTGGGAACTCCTTCAAATTGATTCCTGTGTCTTTAACATTTCTTGAGCACTTCCGTACTTGTTAGGGTCACAGGATGTCCTGGACTCTTCTTGTATTTTCCCTAACCCAATCCTGGAATCAACCATTTCTCTAAGGATCTCTGGTTTCTTTTATTGGAGAATGATATTTAGGAACCAAGATCTGAATGACAGGTATCCTCATTACTACTGGGGTGTCAGTACTTCTAGGCCTTGGCAGTAGACAGAGCTTGAAAATATGTTTGCATACATGCACATACACATCTGTATTTATTTCTGTGTCCATCTCTGTGTGTGAGCAAGAGTGCGTGTGTTTGTGTGTGCGTATTAAGAAAAGGAAGCTAGAATGAACTCAGAATGAATCAGTATGAATTTGTGAGTTCACACTAGCCTTCCCTAACTTTCTTAATTATTATTTAATCTACAGGTTGTCTCTCCTTTTTTTTCTTTGAAATTTATTTGTTGAATAAGTTGGGTCCTTTGTCCTTTATTGTTTTCCACATTCTGGATTTTGCTGATTGTATTTTTGTAATGTCATTCAACGTGTTTCTCTGCTGACTTTCATTTCTAGTAAATTGGTAGTTAGATAAGGTGCACGATCAAATTCAGGTTTAATTTTTTGGCAAGATCACACCATAGGTGGTCATTTGTACTTCCAGCAGGAGGTACACTGTATCTGCTAGTCCCTGTTTTTGTGATGTTACTAGCCGTGGATGATTGCTTGCAAAATGGTGATAATCTAATTTCATCATTCCTTCTTCTTTTATAGCTGTATACTTGTATGAAGAAAAATTTGTTTTTCATTGTCTATTTAGTTACTCTGGGGTGTAGTTCATACAAGAAAGACAACGGAAGAATTCCCTAAAACCTTCTAAAGGTGACTGTATTAGTTTCCTATTGCTGCTGTAACAAATCACCACACCCTTGGCCGCTTCCCAACACACACCTGCCCTGTGGTTCTGGAAGTCAGAAAGCTGAAATGGGTCTTACCATGGCAGGGCTGTGTTCCTTCTAAAGGCTCCAGGAGAAGATCCATTGCCTTGCTTTTTCCAGCTTCTAGAGGCTGTCTGCACATCTAGACCCGTGACTCCCATCTATCTTCAGAGCCAGCAATGGCTGGTGGAGTCTTTTTCGTGCTTCCCTCTTCCACTTTTAAGGATCTTTGATTATATTGGGCCCACCTGGATAATCTCTCTATTTTAAGGTCAGCTGATTAGCCACCTCCATTCCATCTTCAACTTTTATTACCCTGTAATTCAGCATAGTCGGAGATTCTGGGGGTTAGGATGTGAACATCTTTGGGGGGCCGTAATTCTGCCTATCACAGTGACCAAAAGGTTTTTTATTTTTTAATTATTATGAACTCATAGCTTTTTAACATTTTTGATGTATTTTAATTCATTGTCATTATCCTTGATATTGTAATTGTCCTATCTTTCGACAGTGAAAAAGCTTATTCGAGTTGATTCCTGAGTTCTCTGGACGTGAATGTGTAGTCTTTGACAGCTTCCTTCCTTTCTGACATGATAAGATGTCTGAGCTCATACTATATATTCCTGCCCCAGGCCTGGAATCATCCCTTTCTATAAGGCAAACTCTGGTGTGATTTAGAATCCCCTGGAGGGCTTATTAAAACACAGATTGTTGGGCCCTCCCTCCCTCCCTTCAGAGTTTCTGATTTAATAGGTGTGGGTTAGGGCCCAGTGATTTGCATTTGGGGTTCCCAGGTGGTGCTGCTAACTCCGTTCTAGGGACTACACTTTGAGAACCACTGTTTTAAAGAACCCTGTTGGTTTTTTGTGGTGAGCAATGATATTTAGAGACTACAGCCTGCATGCTAGGGAGGATACTGATTCTAGGCTTTTTCAGTGAAAGGAAAGAAATAAAATGTACGTTCATGTTCGTATTTCCAATTCAAATTTAGAATTACACGTTTTAACTTCTTTTATATTTGTATTTGTTTTCTCTGAGGCTTGGTTCTTATGATAGTGATAATTACTTATTTAATAAATATGTATATATCTATGCACACAGTTTCAGAGTAACAATACGAATATTATTTCCTGCAACATGATTACTGAAAACAGTTTACGATTTTTGCAGCAGTCCCTTTGACATTGGAAGAAATATCCCACTAGGGGTGTACAAATTAGTCTGCTTTTACGTTACTGAGATCATTCCTCTCTGGTTGGTTAACCAGTCACCTTGATACACAGTTAAATTCTTTTTCTGTTTCTTTTGCTTTTAGTTTTAGGAGATTATTATTTTATTTTTAAAATAATTATCTAAACATTTAAACCACTTCACTGGCACATCTGTAAAATGAGTCTACTCTCTCCTGTACCTCGTTCTCTCCTTTTCCGTACAGGCAGCCATTATTTATGGTTAAATAAATGGCAGTATGCTAGACATACTTTTTTTTTCTCTTGGGGTCCACACCACTTTCCACCCCACATGCCCACCTGCGCAATATGTTTAGAAGATTACTTGAGGGCGGGATATTTGTAGAGTCCTCATTCCTTTTCCTTTATAGCTTCAGAGTGCTCCGCTGTGAGAATGCACCAGAGTTTGTTCCTCCGTGGGTGGACATCCAGGTTGTTTCCAGCCTTTTGCTGTTACGAATAGTGCTTCAATATTATAAATAGTACAGATTTTGAGGTAGTTAAAAATCACACTGTATACTGTTTGTTTTCTGTTTTTTTCCTTAACAATATAACATCAGCATTTTCCATGTTATTATAAATGTCATTTTTTAAGACAGTTTTTTTTCTGATTATGAAAGTAATACAGACTTAGAGATTTTAGAAACTCAGAAAAATGAAAATCAATGCAAAGTCACCCATAATCGCTCTACTTGGGGATACTGTCATTATTTTGGTGTGTTTCCCCATAGCCTTGACAATATTTTGTGTAAACGCTTAGAAAACAATCCCATCATATTACATAGTATCCTGCTTTGTTTTTACTCGTAATTGTGATTTTTTTTATACCATATGCTTTTTATAATTAATTCTCTGTTGCTAGATTTAGACATTTAGTTTCTTTCTGGTTTTTCAGTATTGTTAATAATTTTGTGATAAATGTCTGTGCATTGAAGCTTTCCCCAAATTTATTATTCTTAAAAGTTGGTTTTTATAAGACTTTAAATGAGAAGGAAGCTCACGTGTGTTAAATATATCTATTTCGCTTGCCCTCTTACAGCAGTAAGGTAAACAGGTGAAGGATTACCTTGAAACCTTTGTCAAGTAAATTCCATTTTTTCTTTTTTCTTCTGGTAGGACCTTAGAAATGAAGTTGAGAAATTACGCAGTGAAGTGAATGAAAGAGAGGAAGCAGTGGAGAATCGTTACAAGAGTCTTTTGAGTGAAAGTAATAAAAAATTGCACAGTCAAGAGCAAGTGATCAGAAGTCTAACAGAAAGTGCCAGTCAGAAGGACTTGTTGCTTCAGGTACCACAACAGTTTTTCTTTTGCATTTAAATCTTTTGACTTCGGCATAGGTTTTTTTTGTTTTGCTTTGTTTTTTAAACTTTTTGACAGGAATGCTTATAAAAAGGTAAGGCTGGGCAAAAAAAGACTGTGGTCTTCACTGTTATTTATTGGAGCGCTGTAGAGCTTTCTTTATGCCATTTGGACCTCAGCCACCAGGGAGGTAAGTTTGTAGAAATGAAAGCTTCGAGAAGAGAAGGGAGTTGTCCTGGGTCACGTGACTAGTAAACGGCAGGGCCTGATTCAGGCCCTGGCCTGCTTTGCCTCTAGCGCCAGCCTTCTGCTGCGGTCCTGGCTTTCCTTTGTGCCATGCTGTCTCACTCCTCTGTATTTTTCTTCTATCTGTTCCTTTTTTGTCATGGACGACCCTTATCATTTGATGGTATATTGGATTTTTGATTCAGCTCAGAATTACGGGTAACCATGGTGGAGTGAACATGCGTGTTTAACACTGCTTCCTCCTGAAGCCTCATTAACGTGACAGTGAAGGGGTGAAAAGGTACAAACGCACAGGACCAGGAGAATGGGAATGGTGGAAGGGCAGGTTGCTGTTTGAATGATAAGTGGTAACTACACAGGATTCAGCTTTCTCCCGTCTGCCTCATGTCTTGGGGATGAAAAGCCAACAAGAAGAAGCTGATGAATCCTACAGAACCCAGGAAGGCTCAGCGGGCAGTGGGGGTACCTGGTACCTTTGTCAGCAACAGAGGTTGCTGGAATGCTGGGCAGTTAGGTGGCCTTATTGTCACCAGCACTATATGGGAGGTTTACTCTGGGGGGACCTTAAACCAGAGAAGCTCTGGCCTGGGGCTCACCAGGTGCAGCTGAAAACAGGAGTGGATCCCTCAGTGAGAAGGAGTGGAAGTGTGCGTACCAGCACGGAGAGTCCTCTGTGGACCCAGAAGACTGAAAGATGCTGACTGACAGTAGGGGGTCCTTCAACCAAACAGCCGAGTCCCCGCCTGATCACCTCACAGTGAGGCTGCCGTTGAGGTACCTTTTCCACACTCACAGAGCTTCTGGACACTTCTACCCTTAAAGATACGTGGGTGGCCCGAGTTCCTCAAACAGGAGAAAAGCGTCTAAGAGGAAAGACAAAGACAGAACAAAGCTACGTAGAGGAAACAGAAACAGTGGAGGCGGAGAAGAAAACTAGACAGCTTTTCAAAAAACTCAGTACTGTAACATCTTCAGATAAGAAATGAGTTCGGGATCTGATAAAAAAGATATTTGGGAAAAAGAGGGATGACCTTATTGGAAATTGGAAGTATGATTACAGATATAAAGAGCCTAATAAAAGAGTTAGAAAAGTTGCACGAGTCAAGTACATCTTCCAGAAAATACAGTTAAACATAGAAACAAACAAAAAGGTGAGCAAATGAGAGAAGAAAGATAAGAAAATCAGAGGCTCGAGTCAAGGGCTCCAATATATGACGAACAAAAGTTCCAGAAAGATAGAAGAGGCAAAGCAGAGGGAAGGAAAAGTTCAAAGTAATAGGAGAAAACTTTTCAGAATGCAAGGGCAGATATCTCTACCTTGAAAGGGCCTGCTCTGTTTCTGGCACGGTGAATGAAGAAAGACATCTATCGCAATTTCACAATCCTGTGTCATTGTGAAATTTCAGAACACAGGGGCAGAGAGAGGATCTGAAAGGCTTCCAGAGAGAGGAAAATAATAGGTCCCATACAAAGGATCCAGACCCGAAATGACATCAGAATTCTCAGCAGCAACATTGAAAGCCAGGGGAGGGAGGGAGACGCAAGAGGGAAGAGATATGGGAACATATGCATATGTATAACTGATTCACTTTGTTATAAAGCAGAAACTAACACAGCATTGTAAAGCAATTATACCCCAATAAAGATGTTAAAAAAAAAACATTGGAAGCCAGGAGACAGGAGAGCAGTGCTTTCAGGGTTTTGAGGAAAAGTGGTTTCCAATCCAGCATTCTGTAGTCAGCCAAGCTGGCAGCAAGAATGAGGGCAGAATAAAGGCAATTTCAGGTATTTGACGCCTAAACTCATCTGCCTCCACGTGCTCCTTGCAGGAAACTGCTGGAGGACGAGTCCGTACAAATGAGGAAGTAACACAGAATGGGATCCAGAAAGTAGGGAATTCACCTGGCATGTGGGGAAGGCAGATCCCAGCCACTTACGCAGAAGCCCAGATTTGAGCCGTTGAGGGAGGGCTTAGTTGGGATTTTTTCAAGAAACTGAAATAGAGCCCATCATTTACCTGATGTGTCTTGACTCCATGTAGAAGAATTTACAAGTTTGGAGATAAATTAACACTAAGTACATAATTCAGTTTTATGAACTGAGTAAACACAACAAAGCAGTTGTTGCTAATTCCAAGAAAAGCAAGGAATTAAACATGAACGGAAATGTCGCCATGGAACACCATTTGGCTGGGCTGTGGACAGTATGTGCGTGGCCATAATCACGTAAATGCAGAATGTTGATTTAACCAAAATCGTGATGTAACTATTAGGAAAAGCGTTGGGGGGTGGATGATGTGAGAGCTGCATCCTTAAACTTCTATGACAGGAGCCAGTTAATAAAATCTAACCTTAGGAAATCAAGCCATGTGAGCATAGGAGCGCAGTGTAGAAACATGGAAGTAAATAACAGAAATCAGTAGAGTCAAAAGCGGTTTTTTTCTGCGAGTGGGACTCAGAGGTGAGAAGTGGCGAGCTAGGGGTGGCTGTTCCCTTCTAAGCCTTGTGGGCCCGTTTGTTAATGTGTATGTATAGTTGGACTTTTAAGAAATAAAAATGAAAATTGTAACTCAAGCACAACTGTATGATGGTAATTCTGAATTTCTGTTTTGGTTATTTGATTCCCTGTTACAGTTCAATGGGTTTTTACAAAAAATTGCTTCTACTTTCTTGTTTGTGTTCAGCTATTTTAGAAATGTTTGACATGATGAATTAATTCTGATGGGTGATTGGGAATGAGATGAGGTTCTCACCCTTAATTTCCCACAGAGAGTGGACGGACACTTAGTGCAGGAGTTACCAGGTTTTAAATTGTTAGGAATAGATTTCTGTGCTTGAATTTGGCCGAAAGACCAGAGAAGTGGTTTCCAGGCCTGCAGTATCGTTGGATGTGACCTCGTCTGAAGGAGCTGGTGAACTGGGCTGTATGGTGTCTCATCGTGAAGGAGGAGCTTTCACCTGTGACCAGACCCCCAAAGTAGTTGCAGTCTTGCCTTTTTCTTCCTGGAAGTCAAATCTCCTCGTAGATATGGACGGTTCAAGTTTTGTCAAATTTGTAATGTTTCAGGAGCGCCTAGACTTTGTTGGGTTTCGATACACAGTCCCTCTAATCACTGCACTAACCCTGTAGCGTGGGAAACAGAAATCACACCCTGGCCAAGGAGGACCCAGGATTGGAGCCTGGGTCGTGGGACCAGAGCCTGGGCTTCGTCTTCTGTACCCGCTGGGAGGTGTCCCAGTGGTGGCGAGAGGGGAGGTTTGTAATGACTGCCACTGTCCTTGCCTGTGCCTTGCTGGCGTGCTGCGCTCCTGGTTGTAATAATGCACAAAGGGATTGCATTACCATTTGTAATTGCCTAATATGTGGGGATGGTGGCAATTGTTTAGATTGTGAAAAACAGTAAATCTTCCCTTAAAGAGTTTGGGACCATCGCTTAGTATTTTTTTCTTGATGACAACTTCCTTATGATTTGTTTTCTTCCTTAGAAATTCAGTGAAAAAGACTTGGAAGCAATACAGCAGAACCGTTATTTAATGACTGCGGGGGATCTCGATTTCAGGAGTGAAGACTTAATAACAGAAAAGTGCTCTTCTCAGTCACCAGGCAGCAAAAGCATCTTCTCCGAGGTAAGCCCGCCTGAAATTGGACATTCACATGCAAATTCATATCCTTTCCTGACACATATTTGATGACTCCTCTGACCTGAAGATCCTCCAAGGCCCTTGTGCTGGTAAATGAGCTTACAGCAGGTAGGAGGAGGGGTTCTCAGTCTTCCCTCCTTACAGATTAGTATCCTTCAGCTGAGTGTTAGTATTTGCACTGCTCAGGAAACCGAGAAACTAGAGCTTGTTCAAAGATGAGCCTCATGTTTGCCCTCCTGGGGGCAACTCTCTCAAGAACTATGTAATCTCGAGGTAAGAACATTTTCCAGTTGAACATTTCCATGCACACCTACAAGGGCACAGCAGGCCCTTCGTGATCTGGCCCCAAGCTAGCTCTCCATTCTCCTTTTCTTTCATTCCCCATCATCTCTAACAGCACCTCACTTCCTGCAGATTCCCGAAAACTCCGTGTTTGTACCTCTCTGTGCCTTTGCACATGCTGTTGCATCTGCCTGGAATGCCTTCTTCTTCCTTGTTGACCTGGTGGCTCCTGCACACCCCTAGGGCTGCCGCTCTGGTGTCACCTCCTCTGGGCTCCTTGCCTGGCCTGCTGAACGCGACGTCTCCTTGTCCACCCCCTTGTGCGGCACTTTGCACATCCATCCACCGTAGCGCTTAGCCCTTGGGTTGACGAACGGAGCCGCCTTGGTGCTTCCCCTCCCTGGAGCCCTGCGCACCCCAGGAGGCACCTCAGGGGAAGGGAACTGGTGTTCGTGTCTGAATCCCAGTGCCTGGCTCAGTGGACGTTTGTTGATTGAATGACCGATGATACTGGTTTGTGGAGATGCGTCCGGATTGTTCTGACGTGCAGCTTGCCTGTAATACAGCTAGGCAGCCAGAGATGGGAAAGAAAGGCGTTCACTGTCGGCCAAGGTTTGTTGTTTTTTTTTTAAGCCCGGCTTTAATTAAGTACATACGTTCAGAAAACAGGGAATTGTTATGCAAATTTTTCTCTGATGAATGACTCTGATCATGACTTGTGGTTTTTGTGAAGGATGATTCTCAAAATAATTAACAACCAGTGTAGCACGGGCACAGCCATCAGAACAGACTCAGGCGCTAGGGCTGGAGTGGGGTCCCGGAGGCCTCCTCTTGTGCCAGGCACCAACCCTGTAGTTCCTGGGTCTTGGAGAGGGGCTGGGGTGGTTGGGGTGCATGGATCAGGGGTTAGTTTACAACTGGTGTAGACGTGTTTCAGTATTTTAGCACCAGTACCGGCCGTTGCGCTGTGTATCCGCTCCGTATCAGCTCTGGTCCTGGAGCGCACCGCTGCCTGAGCGGTGGGAGTTCCTTCTTAACTCTGACCATTTGTGGGTTTGCGTTTTGCCATCCCTCTCGAATAAGAATGTCAGCGAGAACTTGGCCATTGGGCTGGGCCGGAAGTCTGGAGGCCTGGATTCCTCTCTTGGTTCTGTCACTTCACTTGAGTGACCTTGGGCAAGTCCAGTAACTAAATCTCAGAGGGCTAATGTTTTGTGATTTAGTTGCTTTATTTTGTGAATAGTTCCTTTATCTTGACCAAATTTAGTTGGATATTAAGATGCACGTTAACCCAGAATCAGACACAGTCTTGTTTAACTGTTTTTTAAAAATTGAAGTATAGTTAATTTACAATGTTGTGTTAGCTTTAGGTATACAGCGAAGTGATTCAGTTATACACGTGTGTGTGTGTGTGTGTTTGTGTGTGTGTGTGTACATATCTTCTTTTTCAGATTCTTTTCCATTATAGGTTATTACAAGATACTGAATATAGTTCCCTGTGCTATATTGTAGGTCCTTGTTGTTTATTTTATATATAGTAGGGCGTATCTGTTCATCCCAGATTCTCAATTTATCCCCTCCCCCCTTCCCCTTCGGTAACCATAAGTTTGTTTTCTATGTCTGTGAGTCTCTTTATGTTTTGTAAATAAGTTCATTTGTATCGTATTGTTTTAGAGTCCACATATAAGTGGTATCATATATTTGTCTTTCTCTTTCTGACTTGCTTCACTTAGTATGATCATCTCTAGGTCCATCCATGTTGCTGCAAGTGGCATTATTTCATTCTTTTTTTATGGCTGAGTAACATTCCATTACATCTTCTTTATCCATTTAGCTGTCGATGGACATTTAGGTTGCTTCCATGTCTTGGCTATCGTGAATACTGCTGCTGTGAACATTGGGGTGCATGTGCCTTTTTGAATTAGAGTTTCCTCCAGATATATGCCCAGGAGTGGGATTGTAGGATCATATGGTAGCCCTCTGTTTAGCTTTTTAAGGAACCTCCATACTGTTTTCCATAGTGGCTGCACCCATTTACATTCCTACCAACAGTGCAGGAGGGTTCCTTTTCTCCACACCCCCTCCAGCCTTTATTATGTGTAGACTTTCTGGTGGTGGCCATTCTGCCCGCTGTGAGGTGGTACCTCATTGTGGTTTGGATTTGCATTTTCTCTAATGATTAGCGATGTTGAGCATCTTTTCACGAGGCACAGTCTGTTTTGAAACAAGATGGAAGCCCATCAGGTTTTTTAGATGGACAAATCATCACTAATTTGAATACATTTAGTTAAACTTCACTATTTTGAATCATGTTTTAGATATGTAAAAAGTGTCTAAATGTTGAACAGAATGTTTCTAAATTTACTAACAGAGTATTTTAATATTTCATGTCACTAGTTTGATCATCTGTACCGCATTGTTTTTTAGTTTTTTGTGCTGGCTGCTGTCTGTACTTCTTAGAAACACAAGTATAAAGTCATCCCGTGGGCATTTCAGTCATATTTTAGATCCTGGTGATGCTTAAATGACTGTGCAAAATACCTACATATTTTAGCAAAGGTTTTAATTCTGTTCTGCAAGAGTAATTGCAAATCGAGGATAAAAGGTTATAAATGATCATTTAGGAATTGAAAATTTCTAGGTGTCAGTTTAAGAAATCCCAGCTGTTGCAGCCTATGGTATTTTCCCCCCAAGAAAGGTATACTTTTCAGGTTGTAGTTCTTTCTTTGTAGGAAACACGGATTTACTCTGCTCTGCCCTTGGCCATTTTGTGTGGATTTTGGGTTTATCCTCTGCCCATTTCTATGAAGAACTTGAGGCTGTGATGATGTCTCCATTGGCTCTGGGCCGTCTGTTTTCCTTCTAATCATGTGTGATCCTGAGAATTAATGCTAGATGACCAGGGAATTGAAGAACAGAGAGTAAAACACACTGACCATATTTAACTTGCTGCAGCCAGAGATTTATAGTTTGGCTATTGACATGGTTGGGACATTGCAGCTGAATTTCCTGAGTATTAAAAATAAATGTCTTTGTTGCAGAGCTGTGATATAGCTACTGAAATAGACGCCATCTGTCAGGCCACTAAATTGCCCTGATTACCAAGAAGTGAGCCATTAAGGTCTCTCTTTACATATCTGCTGCCTCTTCAGATTGTGGTCTGCCCATTACATACGTTTCCTTCAAGTCATTGAGGAAACTATGGTGGAGTAGAAAATGCCTCGGCTTTGGTGTCAGAATGTCCGTTCTGCCGCTTATTAGCTCTGTGATCTTGGGCAAGTCACCTCCTCTCACTGAAGCTCACCTTCCTAATCTGTAAATGGGGAGTTACATGCCTACCTCCTGAGAGGATTAAAAATAATGTGAGTGTATTTGTTAAGGTTCTTTTGATTGCAAGCTGTAGGATCCAACGCTGAGGAGTTTGAGCAAAACAACAATGAAAGGGAGTATTTACCGGGAACATACCGGAGAGCCTCACAGATGCCAAGGGTCGTAGACTCTGGGGCTCTGTCTTGTTTGGAGAGGCAAGGTGGAGGGCGGGGGTGGAGAGTGGGGATGGCGGGCAGAGGGTAGGGGACAGGGGGGTTGGTTGCTGCTGCTGAGCAGGGGCCCCCTCTGGGCCACTTGGCCCTCTGCCTCTGTGCCGAGGAGACCCACTGGTTTGCCAGCTCTGCCGAGGGAGCCAAGTGACGTCATTCTAATGGGGCATGATTCAGCGCAGGGGAGCAGGTGATTGATGCAATGGGACCCAAATGGCTCTGAAGAGTTCATTTATTTAACATGGGTGAGCAATTTGCTTCTAGGAAGACGTTGACTCACTCTGACTTCCATTATGCAAAATAGCCACAGGAATCTCTGCTCTGAAGAGTCACATTGGTCCCTGTGTTCCCCTCTTACCTTTTTAATCATCATTTCAGCGAGCATCTGTGGCAAGCACTGTGCCTGGCTCGGGGTGCTGCTGCCCGCAAGGGGTCCCCAGGCCTGTGAACACGTGGTTGGTACACGAGCTCCGGGTGAAGGTGAACCAGGGTGCCGTGGGGCTGGAGGAGGGTCTCTGTAAGGGACCATGGAGGGTGTCAGTGGAGAGGGCTCGACTGATGGAGCGTGGTCTGTGAGGAGGAGGAGGGAGTTTCCTGGTTCCACGGAGATGGAAGGGCAGGAAAGCAAGCACTGGTGTGGCCGGCTGGCAGGTGGAGGGTGGGGGCTGAGGTGAGCAGTGACCTGGAAAACCTGGTGAAGGTTTGGAATGGCTGCCTGAAAGGAGGAGAGGGGAACCAAGCTGGGCACCCAGGCCCTGCACCGCAGTGGGCAGTCCTCTAGGGCTTCCAGCCAGGCCCACGGTGATCCAGTTAAGATACAGGGTCGCGGGCTTCCCTGGTGGTGCAGTGGTTGAGAGTCCATCTGCCGATGCAGGGGACACGGGTTCGTGCCCCGGTCTGGGAAGATCCCACATGCCGCAGAGCGGCTGGGCCTGTGAGCCATGGCCGCTGAACCTGCGTGTCCAGAGCCTGTGCTCCGCAACGGGAGAGGCCACAACAGTGAGAGGCCCAGCATACCACAAAAAAATTTAAAAAAAACCAAAAAAAAAAATATATACATATATATGTGTATGTGTGTGTGTGTGTATATATATATATATATATATATATATACACACAGGGTTGGGATTCTTTCACTGGATATGTACATCCCACAGCTGAGTCTCCCACATCCACCTGAGGTCCACATTTATTCATGTTTTTTCCTAGTTCTCTTGGTTGGTTACTTATCTAAGCACAAATTCTGACTGCCACTTATTAGCTGAATGGACTAAAACACATGACCTGTCCTCTCAGAGAATCAGTTTATTCATCTGAAAAGTGGGAAGATTAATATACCTCCTTGGTCGTTATTGTGATTAGAGATGACCTATGTAAAGGACCTGGCCTAGCATTGGAGCGTAGGAATGGTAGTTATGGTTGACACTCCTTAAGTGTTTACTCTGTGCCAGGCATCCATGTGAGAATTTTGTATAGATTAGCTCAGTTAATCTGTTTCACAACCCTATGAGATATGTAGAATTATTACCTCTACTTACAGATGAGGATATTGAAGCACAGAGAGATTGAGTAACTTGTTCAAGGTCACACAGCTAATAAGGTCACACGCTCTTAACAGTCCCTGCCCTTGGTGGTAGATGCTCAAGAAGCAGTAGGTTTTTCTTATTTTCGTCGTCACTGTTGCCTGGCCTTTATGTGGCTGACAGCGACTGTGTCACCTTTGTCAAACTCCCAGTGCTTTGCATCCATCATGGGTCATTCACGGGTGGACCAAAGAGCACAGGCCCTGGAGCCTGGCTGCCTGGGTCCACACCCTGCCTCACCACCCTGACTCCGTGCCTCGGTTCCCTCATCACCAAAACGGGGAGAGTGGTAATGCTTGAGCTCACTGGCTTGTGAGGATTAAATGAGAAAATGCTGGAGAGCACTTTGTACCACGGCTGACATCCTTAGGACATGGTAGCCTCTTTGTCTTGATCCCAGGGTGAGTTCCTCCCAGGCGCTCCCCTGGGGCCCTCTGTCTACGTGCGGTGTGTACGGGTGGGAGCTGACACTGGTGACTGTGTACAGAAGGCAGGTGGGAGCTCCTTGTGCCAGCGTCATGTGGCACGATTTACAAAAGGGCCTGACATTTCTAGCAGTGTGGGTGGCCAGCTTCTCATGACCAAGCTGGTGGGTTAGCATTTAAAACCCTCAGTTGGCAGGTGGTGCCTTTGCCTTTTTTCGTTCAGGGCTAGAAGCACAGCAGCGTTCTCCTGGGTCAGGGGCTGCTAACCTTTTTGCCATCTGCATCCCTTGGGTAGTGTGCTGGAGCCAAGGACCTCTTCCCTGGAAAAGTATCTAAATGCACAAAATATGTGCACAGGATCATAAAGGAAACCACTTATTTTGAAATTTGGTTATCAAAATATAAAAAAATAATCAGCTGTAGAAATGGTGCTTCTTTATTAATGTGTTAAATAACAAGATCTAGTGGTGAACAGAGTGGCTGCTGCAGTTTTGAGGTAGTGATGAGAATAAATATTTTGAGATACTTGCAACATATACAAAGTAACTATTTCTTTTGATGACAAAATCTCAGGAAAACACCGAGTACTACTATGGTTTGTAGCAGTAACAGTGTTCCTTCAACCCCTAAATGAAGGAAACGCTCAATTTCAGTTAGAGGTTAGCGGCAATAAAGATGTACCTTTTTCCCCTCGTTCATGTTTGAGTTTTCATTAGGGTTGGAAGCCCTATCCTGGGTCATTATCTGAACTTCAGGCGACAGGCTGAGTCCACGAGACACAAGGGCTGCTTGCAGCCCCTCTCTCTCCACTGACCCCGTGTCTCCCTAGCATTAAGGAGCTTCTGGTCTGCGCCAGGCGCTGTGCCAGGTGTCCTGCACACTTTACTTCTTTATTTTAACATTTTCTTCTTATTTTGAGATAATGTCAGATTTATAGGCAAGTTACAAGAGTAAAGGGTTTTGCTTGTCCTGAGCCATCTGAGAGTAAGTTGCCTGTGTGAAGCCCTGTCAGTTCTGAATACTTGAGTGTGTACTTCGTGTCAGCAGGGACCTTTTCCTGTATGACACAGCACAGCCGTCACAGCCAGGGACTGAGCAGAGACCCTCAGACTACCATCGAACCCTCAGGCTCATTCGTGTCTCACCAGCTGTCCCGTAAAGCCCTTTGTAGTGGAAGGAGCCAGTTCAGGATCTTGTGTTGCATTTAGTAGACTTTAGTCTGTTGACTTTCACGGCCCTGAGACTTTTGAAGCATCCAGGCCAGTTCTGCCGTGGAGTGTCCTTTCGTTGGGTCTGTCTGATGTTTCTTGGTGCCTGGCTTCAGGTGAGGCATCCTTGGCAGGAGTGTGACAGGACCAGCGCTGTGTCCTCAGTGTGTCCTGTCCGACAGTACACGGCTTAGCTTTGTTACCTAAGCATTACCGGCCATGCTGACTTGGGTTAACTCTGTGAAGGTGGTGTCTGCGTGGTGTCTCGACTATGCAGTTACTCTTTTTTCCTTTGTAATTAGTAAGTATTTGAGGGGAGGTATTTTGAGTCTATGTAAATATGCTGATCTTCTTCAAACTTTCACCCGTTAGTTTTAGCCTCCTTTTATGTTTTGTGGCTGAATAATTTCTTACCATGATGGTTAGCAAATGGCGATTCTTCTAATTCCATTATTCCTTCTACATTTATTAGCTGTTCTGTAAAGAAAAGCCCGTTCTTCTTCCCATGTACTCATTTACTCATGTCCGTGTGGATGTGAGTTTCTGTTTCACTCAGTGGGTTATAATGTGTTACTATCATTGTTTTGATGCTCAATTGTCCCAGGCTTGGCCTTTTCAAACTGGCTCCTGTATCCTTTTGACAGTGCTCCATTATTTAAACACTTCCTTATTTTCTGGTGTGACAGAATGCTGTAGACGTGGATTTCTTTTGAATTTCATTGCATCAGTACTGGAATTGGCCATTTCCCCTGGGATCCTTGATTCCTTCCAGCACACAATTGAACTTGTATCTGCTCTGTAACTCCATAAGGTGGTGGCGGCTGTTGTCCAGCATTTTACAGGTGGCTCTAGTAAGTAACTTCCTGAGGTCCCAGAACCAGGAAGTGACGGAGCCGAAATTTAGAGCCGAACTCTAAAAAAATTTTCACATTTGTGGAATTCACAAAATTACATCCTCACTTCATCGATGAGGAGCCTGAACCTCACAGAGGTTTGTTAAGCTGGTTAGCTGAGGTCACATAGCTAGTAAGTGGCAGAGTCCCCCTCAGATCTCTTTATCATCAGTCTGTTCATGGTGCCTTGAAAGCGTGGCTCACCTGACCCCTACTATTTTAATGTAAGTCCCTTGTCCCTAAAACTTGTCAGGTTTTGGTTGATGAATTTCTTTTCTTTGTAGCAAGGACAAGCGTGGAAGGGCATTCTTTGTAGTTTTGTGAAAACAATGACCAGCAGCTCTGAGCTGGGTTGGGGCGGGGGGGAGGGCAGAGGAAGTTTCACGAAGGGCAGTTGGGTATTGTCGGGAGCACAGCGCTCAGCTTTCTTCCTCCGTGAGTGATGTGCGGTCATTCCCCACTCCCCCTGCAGGTGGTGCCCTCTGACTGCAGCCTGATCCGGAGCCAGGCACAGGGGTTCACCTTTGTTTGGATTTATAAACCAGAACTATCCACATGTGTTTGCATAATGTAAGGATGTGCGCTTTCAAAATTCTTCTCTTAATGACAGATGCCCATTGTCGTTTTCAGGAAAAACAACAATTAGGCTATGAAGAGCTGATTCAGGTCTTAAAGAAAGAGCAGGACATCTATACACATCTGGTGAAGTCTCTGCAGGACTCAGACAGGTAAGGGTTTCTGTTTGGACGTCACGTGCATGCGTAACACACATACTCTGAATAAATGCTGGTAGTTTCTGAGGCAGTGAAGCCTTCCCACTTTGCTTAGGAAGCTTAAAGTGCTTGGATGGTGATTGCCTTATTTAAATCAGATATACCTATTTCCTAGCAGGAATTGTCTGATTTTTTTGGCAGCAAACGTAGGATAAAAATATCATTAATACTAATTACTCAGGTTTTTATAATACTTTATTATGGATTTAGAAAGCGCCTCCACGTGTGTTATCTCTTATAATCCTCACTGCTGTTCTGTGAGGTAAGTAATATCATTATCCCTACTTTCCATAAGTGACTCGGAGTGACTGGTGTCTTCACAGAATTGCCGAGGTGATTTGGTGCAATGAGATGTGGGGAGGAGAGCTGATTATAGGGTAGCGGTCTTGCCACTGCCCTGCCTGTGTCCACGGGCAAGTGACACATCTGGGCCTCTCTTGGCCCAGCACTGGGTTGGCCTCAGTGATTTCTCCCATGGAGGAGTCACCTCTCTGCACACTGGGATGGTTACGGGTGGAAGGATATGATGTCTGGGGTTCATCTCCACACTGCACAGCAGCGCAGGAAGCAGGCGGGGACACCGATGGAACGAGAATGGCCACGGCTCCCTGGTTGTTGGGACAGGGGTGTGGGCAGGTGTGTGTGTGTGTGGGGCTCATTATACTGACTTGTCTTCATGTGCTAATGTCTAAAATTTTCCATGATAAAAAGTGAAGAAAACCCAGCCCTCACTGCTGCCTCTCTTCTGCCCTTCACTCCAGCCCTAATGGGGTCCTCACTGTTCCGGGGCCGGGTGTCTCCTGTCTCTGCTTTCAGCAGCTATCTGCACCCTGCTCTGCGTCCCCCTCATCCTTGAGGATTTGCCTCAGGGGTTCCCCTTGTCAGGAGGCCCGCTCCGGTTCCTCTGCCCTCACAGCTGCCCTAACCTCCCTTTGTTACTTGGCTGCTGTGGCCTGCGTCTCGGCCTAGAAGGTGAGCACCCCCAGGGCAGGGGTTCTGTCTTGCTGTCTGCATTTCCCAGTGCCTGTCACGGGGGCTGGTATGGAGTAGGCACTTGGGAAGTGTTCGCGGATGAACCCCCTCCCAATTCTTCTAAGTTATGAGTTTTCAGGATTTTTAATCTGAAGCGAGTTTAAGGAAAATGAAAACATGCTGATGAAATTCTCTGAAAGTGAGCTTTTTCGAGAAGCCTCAGCTGCTCGTCATTTTCACTTGGGGGAGGGGTTGAGTAGTGCTGCGAACCTCAGAGGGGGAATGGGCACAGCGGGTTTAATTGTGCGGCTACTCCGACGGGAGCCAGTTCTGACTCTGGGCACCGAGAGGCCCTGGGGTGGATGTGGCCGCTGTCAGGCTTCCTCAGCGTCACTGATGGCGGCTCTGAGTTTCATAGGCTCTTCCTTAGTGAATAACAAGGTGCATGGGACCAAGGTGGGTCAGGGCTGTGACTAATAGAGATGCTTAAAAGGTTTCCTGTTCACCTTCAGAGTCACAATACATTCAGCAGCTCTGAGCTCTTGGGTAGGTCACTTTTCACCCTGAGCCTCAGGATATGTATTTGTGCAATTGAGATTGGCCTGCCTATAGACCTACCTGTTTACCTACCTCCCTACCTACCTTCCAGGGTTGTTTGAAACGAGATGATAATGTGTAAAGTCCTAATTCTGCCTGGCAGATAGTAAGCACTCAACAAATGGTAACGTTTATTAAGACTAACAGCAACGTGAAAAGCCTCCATAGGCCTCAGTGTGCCACTGTGCATAAGCTCAGCTTGCAGGGGGTTTTGAGCCTTCAGACCTTGCCCTGGCGAGCGGGCAGAACTGTGGGCTAAGGCCGGTGGAGCCCCCTGGGGTAACTCCAGCACTGCTCACTCTCTGGAAACTGGCAGTGAAAGCTGGATGACTCTGGAGACGTGTGACGTACTTGTAACTAAAGTTGGAAAGGGGGAACGGGAGGGAGGAACTGACCAAGGGCAGCTGTGTGCCTGGTCCTTTCCCGACACTTCAACCCCATATCACAGAAGTGGAAATCTGCTCTTGGAGATGTTGAGGGTATTTCCCAAGCTCCTGCACTTAGGGATTCTCAGAGCTCAAGTCTCCGTGGCTCCTGAGCCCAGGCCCTTACTGAGACAGCTCTCATCTGGAGGACAAGGACAGTTTATACTTTGCCTCTAACTCAGGTTTTCTCGACCTCAGCACTGTTGGGATTCGGGGCTAGATAACTTTTGTCCTTTTTTTGAGGGGCCGTCTTGTGCATTGTAGGATGTTTAGCGACATCTCTGGCTTTTGCCACTACATGGCAGTAGCACCCTCCCTGCCCCAGTTGTGACAACCAACAGTGTCTCCAGGATTGCCACATGTGCCCTGGGGGGTGTAAGTCATCTCCAGATGAAAATCACGCCTGTAACTCAGGAGTAGCAGAAAGCTTGGCATATAAATGTCTGCTGTATGGGAGTCATTAGAATACGTGGAAGGAAGGAGGTGATGTTTGTCGAGCACCTCGTGTGTGTCAGGCACTGTGCTAAGCTCTTTCCATTATAACATCTCATTTAATCCTCAAAACACTCTTGAAGGAAAGGCACTGTCCCCACTTTACGGATGAGGCTAGCAGGACTCGGGCAGTTTAGCTGACCGCCAAGGTCATGGAGCTCGTGAATGGTGGCACTATGGGGGCGTGCGTCCTCCGGCTCCTCCCCCACTCCACTCCAGAAGGAGGAAGGCTCAGGGCTGTCCTTTCTTTCTGAGTGAAGCTCCTTTTGTTCCACCGACTCCTCACACCTTGCAGAGATCGTGGAGTTGGGGAAACAGAAATGACAGATGCAGGAGCAGCAGCTGTGTACTTTTCACCCTGTCAGAAGATGGAAGAGGGAGTGAAGCCGTCGCTTTCCCTAGCCCTCATTGCAGGAGCTTCGCTAAAACAATCTCCTTTCTTCCCCCACTGGTTAAACGCGTCTGCGGCCTGACCGCATCCAAGCGAGTGCTGTGCTGTGACACCTCTGTAAGGTTTCCATCAGCCTTACAAATTGATCATTATGATTGTCTTGAAATGGAGCTAGGTACAGGCTGCTGGGAGGGCCCCTTCCCTTGCAAGGGGGCTGCTTCACAGTGAACCATCTTCAAAGCAGCAAGCATAGAAGATTAGACATAATGGTTTATTTTCCTTCCAATAGATGTTGATTTATGTGTGCAGTTCGATGGACGGAGCTGGAAGGAATCGCTGGAGGATAAGTGGGGCTTGAGTCTGTGGCGCACATATTTCAGAGCGATGGCTCCTAACCATTTGGGGCTGTGGATGCCTCTCGAACAGTCTGATGAAAGCTCATGGACCCTCTCCCTAAAACAAATCCACATTTTCATACACTTCTTCCAGCAGTTTCAAAGTGTTGATGGACCCTTTCAGGGAAAAATAGGTCAGACGCTGGACAGAGTGACGTATTTCTTGATATTTAAAAAAGGCTTTCTGATATGTTAAGGCGTTTTCGTAGTCTCAAAAAATGTTCACATACTTTGACCCAGTAATTGCACTGCTGGGAATCCATCTTAAGAAGCTAACCCTGAGTGTGAAACAAGGCTTTAGGCGCAGAGATTTTCATTGAAACAATATTTACGTTACTCAGGTGTCTGCTGGAGCCTCTGTTCCTCTGAGAGAACCGGTTCAGACTCCTGCCACGTGCATGTCAGTAGGAGTCCGGAGCCCTGCCTGAGGAACTGCACTGCCTAGTTCAGTAGGCACTAGCCATGTGACTACATACATATAAATTAAAAAATTAAGCATTCAGTTCCTCAGCATGTAGCCACATTTCAAATGGTCAGTAGGCACGTTCAGCTAGTGGGTACCGTATTCAGCAGCGCCGATACAGAACATTTGCATCATTGGAGGCAGGTCTGTGGGACAGTCCTCCCCCCGTCAGTGCAGATTCTGGGAGGTGTGCTTCTTCATGGCCTCCTCTGAGTTCTGGGTTGCTGGTTCCTTGCAGGCTCTCTGTGCAGGTCAGTACCGTATTACACTGACCCAGACGTGATACTTGACATCACCACCCCTCCAATAAAAATCCATTCTACTCTGCATTTGTGAGTGGCCAACCCATTACTGTAGACTTCTTTTGACCCCTAAATTGGTCCGTCTCTTCCTCCTATTATTGACTCTCAGTCTTCTCCTTTTCTTTTTTCTTGTCCCTGCTGCCCCTCACCTTTACCTCCAATGCCACCTCTTTTAGGGGTGACATGGCCGACGTTCTCCTTGTCGCCTTCTCTTCTGTGGAGAGCCTTCCTTCCATACCCAAGCCCATGCAAAGCGTTATTCCAGAGAAACATTCTGGGGAATTAAATTACTTCCACCTAGCTACATCTGTAGCAAAAACTTGGAAATGACCCAAATGTCCACTAATAGGGGATGAGTTAAATGGTGGGACATTCACCCGATTTAATGTTATATAGTCATTAAAAATGACATTTGCAAATTATTTCTGAAAATGTAGGGAAATATTTAAATGAGAAATGCACAACTTAGTATATTATATGTCCAGAATGATTTCAACCTTATAGAAATACTCAGGGAAAAAGATTGGGAGGAAATAGTCTGCCATGTGTTTTTTGGTAGTCGGGTTATGGTAACTTTTGCTTTTTTTTTTTTAATACGTTTCTATTATAAATGTTCTATAAACACGTATTTACTTTTATAACCAGAAAAAAACCCCACAAATGACATAAAAATCAAAGGAAGGCTTGCTGGGCTTTGCATTTTAAAGCACAAGTAGGTCTGTTTTAAAATTCCGGTGTCTTGTTTTACCAAGTGTCAGCAACCTGCAAGCTGAGTTGAACAGCATCTTTGCGCTGCGGAAGCGGCTGGAGCGCGATGTGCTCTCCTATCAGAACCTGCAGAAGGCCCTGGAGGAGCAGATCAGTGAAATCCGGCGGCGGGAAGGTACGTGCTCTCTTGTATGTATTTCCCTTTGGTTTTCCCGCCTGGAGGGACTTGGCTGAACTTTAAGAGAGTCCTAAGACTGCGGTAGGAGGCGAGGCACCCCGGGGATTTCGTCTGGGAAGGCTTTTTTGCAGTGATGGTGTTACTGTTGCTCTCCTAGTCTGTACCTGTCTGGCTTCGGCTTGTGGAGTCAAAGGGCCCAGCAGGTAGTGTTAATTCCACAGAGGGCCTGCTGCAGGACTGCTTCCTCGCTGCCCCTGCTGTGTTCTGCATTGTTTGACTCTTCTAACTCCAGATAACCTTGGGGCCTTGCCATTTCCTTTCTGTGGTCAGTGGCCCTCATCACCCTAAACATCTGGGCTCTGCCTACCACGGCGCCCACTGCAGAGAGCCCCACTGCACAGACACGTGCGGGTGAAACCTCTGTTTCCTGCTGAAGCATCGCTTTTCACACTGTCATGACCGCACGTGGATTCAGCTAGGGAGGGTCCTGTGGTATGGGCACTGCTGTGCTCATGACAGCTGTATCTGGCTCCCTCCTTTGCTAGAACCTGAGCCCCGTGGTGTCTGGGTTGGCGTTTTCCTTTCCTTATCTCTAGCCTTCCTTTCCTTTCTCTTCCTCATTACTGATTGTAATTCCTGCTTACAATCAGTAATAGCAGTGGTAGGTTTGACATTTCCTGAGCGCCCGCTGTGTACCAGGCACAGCGGCAGGCACTTAACTTCTCACCTCTGCTCCTGACCGTTGTCCCACTGGATCGAGTAGACATTGACGTCACATCACAGGTAAAGAAACCGAGGTGGCAGTGGGGGTTGATTTACCCAGATTGGAGGCAGGACATCTTCCTTCGAAGTCTAGCTCTTTCCTCTATACGAGGCGTATCAGCTCTTACCCACACGTGTTGAGTGAGATCATGCTTGTGGATATGCTCCACTCAGTGAACAGCGTGACCCTTCTCTGCACCGTTGCTCCCTGTGAGAGCGTGACCTTTGGTGCAGAGAAGGCCGACCCGTCCGTGGGTGACCCAAGAGTCTCTCATCATAGATCTCATAGGCGGTTTCTGTACTCGGTGTGCTCGCTCCCATGGCGGGCTCTGGGGCCGGTAAAAAACACATCAGGCGCTTTTGAGTTCTACCCTTGAGGCTCACATCTAATTTTCCTGTATTTTCACTTAAACAGAATCACTCCCTCATTTAAATTGAAAATCACTATTTGCTTGTGCCACTCAGAATGGACTCCAGGCACAGCACTGGATATGCAAAGTATAATCCAGAGCTGGCCACAGTGAAAGCCTACAGCCCACGATGAAACCATACATTGAGATACCAGCCTGTAGAGAAAGAAGAAAATTACTTTTGCTCCAAAGGTGGTGCATTAAACTCCCTGTGTGTGCTTATCTCCCTTTCCCCCGCTACCCAATTCAAAGTGCCTTAGATGGATTGCACGGGGAATTGTCTGGGAAGGATCTACTTCTGATGTTCTTTTTCTCCTCCTCCCCGCTTTTTTTTTTCTTTTGGTGCAGAAGAACCATTTTCATTTTATAGTGATCAAACATCTTATCTGAGTATTTGCCTTGAAGAGCACAATCGGTTTCAAGTGGAACATTTTTCTCAAGAAGAGCTTAAGGAAAAGGTATTGACCTATTAACTTTCAGTGCTTTGTTGGTTATTTGTTGTCTCTTGGGTTCCTGATCAGAGGTGTAAGATTCTGAAAGCCCTTCTCCCCGCCTCTCTTCCCTCTCTCCCTGCCTACCTTTTTTCCCCTTGATGTACATTCCCTGGAGTCCCTACCCCGTGTCTGATGCACGCCTTCTGAGGCTTGAGGACCCCACCCAGGCTCCGTCTCCCCTGGGAAATGCTCTCTATCCCCCCCAGAATTAGCCACCTTTCCCTCGGGTCATTCTCCTCTCTTCTTGTACCTGACTGCACTGATGTCCTTCTCATACTGATCTGTAATTATCTGGGTATTCTTCTGTATCTCCACCAGGCTGTGAGCATCTTAAAGCGAGTGAGTGTATCTTGTTTATTTCTGATTTCCCAGTGCCTGGCACACATAGTGGGGGGTAATTGATGCTTTTTGAAAGAATAAAGGTTCAAGGTTGATCAGTAAATCTTTTCTAAAACTGGAAAGGTTTTCAATCTGTTGATCATTGGTGTGGTTAGAGTGGCTTTGTATTTCAAGGTTCTAAGAGCCATTGATAAGAATAGGAAGTGTGAGCTCCGAGGACACTGTGATTTATTATAAAATTACCATCTATGTATGACAGGTTGAGTTTCTGTCTGGGAATAACTCACATGCCGGTGGAGTAGAGGGTCATGTGAAGGAGCAGTGGCAATGTGGAGTGCAAGGGTGGCTGTAATAGGCAGAGGTGCGAGGTTTAGGGGTAGCCGAGAAGGAGAGGTTAGCTGTCGGGGGTTGGGAGGTACTCACTGGATCACAGGAAACTTCTCAATAGAAGTGAGACCTGAAGTGGTTTTGGAGGTTGAATAGGAGTTTATCTGGTTGGAAGGCTTTTTCAGCAGAGAGAGAGGAAAAACAGCAGATGTAAGATGCAGAAGAGATAAGAAGGAGAACTATAAAAATGTTGGTGTTTTGGGAGGAGTGGAACAAGAAGCATTGAGGCATCTGTTAGTGTTTCGAAGATGAAAATAGACGTGGTAATAGCCACTGCGCATACCTACTGTGGTTGTGTTAAGGGCAGGAGCTAGTTCCCTTTGTTGGCACTTAGTGAATGTTTGTAGAATCAGAATGTTTTCTTCTTCCCTCTATGATATAACCTCCTTGAGGTTGGGTCCTAGTTGTGTTCATGTTTTGGTGCAGTGGACACCTGCTGTGTGTGGTCAGGGTGGGATTTCCCACTTTCTTTGAGGGGCTAATGATTATCCCCTTAAGAAGGGTTTGGAAAATCACTAGCCGTTGTGATTTGAAGCTTGCGGGGAATGAAGGTGGTGTCTGCTCAGATGCTTATGGACCTGGCCTCGCAAGGCCTGCGCCTTAAGGAGGAGCCCTGGACCGGGAGTCCAGGCCCGGCTCTGCCTCTGTGCGGGCAGCTGCCCCTGCCCACACGACCGGGCACTTTGGCTGTTGTTGTATGTCACTGAATTCTCCAGGCACCCCAACTCTGGGACCTCGGGCAGTGAACTTCTTTGTGTCTCGGGCTTCTTGTTGTAAAACGGGGACAGTCATACTGCTGTCCGCCTCCTCGGGATTTTTGTAAGGAGCGATTGACTAAAGCTTGTGGGAGTAGTTTAGCAGCTGTGAATTGCTTTATGACTGAGGACTGTTGTTATTATGGACGGTGCTAGAGAGGCATAGAAAGAGGAAGGTGGATGCTGTAAAATAAGCCTCTGACAAGCCTCGGAAGTTTCAGTCTCGGGGGGTTTTCCTCCAGAGGGTCTCAAGTACAAGGCAGAGGCCATATCTGCGTCACGGACAGAGTACTTAGACCGTGCCGAGGGCTGTAGTGTGCTGTGACCGTGATCGCGTTCAGTGCTCACGGGAACCCATTCCACACATGTAGAAATGGAGACTTAGACCAGGCAGCTTGCCCAGGATCTCTTTGCCTTGAAGTCTGGCGCTGGGGTTAGAATACAGAAATGCTGGTGTTTTTCTCACTGTACCCAGGGTAGCCTGAAGCCTGGAGTCAGGCCACCTGACTCTCCGTGACTGTGATGCAGGACGTCTCCTCCGTAGCCGTGGCCCTGGGAGGCAGCAGTGTACCCGTGGGTAGTCAGTCCTTTCCTGCTCTTATCTCCCAGGTCGGTGACCTTATCCAGCTGGTGAAGGAGCTGTACGCGGACAACCGGCACCTGAAGAAAACTATTTTTGATCTCTCCTGCATGGGCTTCCCGGGAGAGGACAGGCCTGAGTCGGCAGATCAGATGGAGGTAAGAAAGAATGTTCTCGTTCTCGCGTGCTAATCACACAGAGAGTGACACCCCCCCCCACACACACGTCACCAGGCTGCATCTCTCCTGGGAGGTCTCTGTTGAAACTCCCTCTGCCGTGGACGGGCTTTGAGGGCCCTCTTAGGTCAGCAGGTCTGTCGGAGCGTCCCGCAGGTTTGGGTCGTATCCGCGTGGACACACTCGATGTGCTGTGATGCTTTGGACTCCACGTCCAGCCCTGGGATCTGGGCGTAGATGGTACATCTGGATGACTGGTCTGGTCTCAGGGGCCTGGAGAGTTGCCACGTCACCCACGTAGCTTGGGTAGTGTAGCTGCAGCCTTAATGAACCCCTTACCGTGGAGAAACACACGAGAAAACACACTTTTCATTTACTTTTTGTATTAATCCTCTAAATGCGTCTTGTCACTCCCACGGCATCTGGCTTCTGGATTTGACCAGATGTGTGCAGTTTATTCCCACGCGTACCCAGGAACCCCTGCACTCTGCTGTGTACTGACGACCCGACAGGGAGTACAGGGTCGGCGTCGCGTGAGCCCACAAATTCAGCTTCCTGACTATGGGAGTTTTCCACTGGTGACATTTGAAAGTCTGGAAGGGCCACGGAAGGTTAAATCTGGTGTCTGCACTAAAGCGCGTGTGGTTCCTGGGCTTTTGTACTCACTGAGGGTGTGGGCCCATTCCGTTAGCCCACCCCAGGGAAAGCGGGGGGAGCCCCTTCACCCTGTGACTGGCTCTCTGCTCACCTTTGTGGGGTGTTGGCTCCGATTTTCTCTGTTCTCAACCCGACCGCACAGTAGAGGGCCCTGATGTTGTGACAGCGAGGAGAAGCTTGCCACTTCCTCCCTCTAGTCCCTACCTGGCCTGACGCTCCCCCAGGAAGCGCCTTGCTCCATGCCTGTGTTATGCTACTTAGTTTCAGAAGACTGGAACTGTTCTCATCATGAAATGCACTAGAGCCTTTTGTATTTGGATCCCCCAGAACCTTCCTGGTTGGGGTTGTCTTGAACTCAGCCTGGCGTGCCAGGTAAATGGAGGTCTCATTGCCACACCATTTCTGGGGAAGGATTTGTCAGGCTTCAGCTGTCTCCTCCCACGTTCAAGGTGGGAAACGCTCAAAGGTGTTTATGCGGAGCTCTGGCCATCTGCTCCCTTGGAGAGAGGGAATGTTATTGAGCTTAGTCTCCAGGGCTCCAGATAATTTTGAAAAGCAAGAATATCTGCAGCCCATTTAGGGAGAAACAAGTCTCTTGGTTTGTTTTTTCCAATGTGGCATTTTTTTTTTGGTGGCATTTTTAATAAGCAGCCCATTCGTCACCTGCTTCATTTGAGTGTCAGACGGCGAGTGTTTGTTCATTTGCCCTTTGAAAGAAATCTGTTAAATGTCCTATTATGTTCTTTGGAGAACAGAGGGATTTTCCTCTTGCCACTCTGAGATCTTAATAGCAGCCGATTCAGATTGGAGTCATTTGTCAGGTTGCACATCAACTTGATGTTCCCTATGAATAGTCGTGTCCTTCGCAGCACAGGCCCCGTCTTCCCCGGCAGGCGATGGGGAGATCCGCACGGGCAGGATGGTGCTCCCACGATAATCTTGAGCTGAGGGAGGAGAGGCTGTTAGGGGTGAGGGTGGGATGGCAGCAAGGAGAGGCTGCTGTTCCCTGGGAGTGTGTGTGGCTCTCCTTGGATGAGCAACGAGGCAGAGACAAACGGGAAATGCCTCCGTGGTCCACAGCCTTTTCTGGGCAGCAGGGCTTGTGGAGTAGGGGCTGGCACTGCTCCAGTGCTCTGGGAGCCTACAAATCAGAAAAGGAAAAAAACAGACAGCAAATATATTTTGTATTTTTAAAATTCAGTAGTTTTTCCTCCAATATTTAATTAACCCACAGCATTGCCTAAAACTTGGAAAATAAAGAAATGACCCCTAATCCTGTCACATTAAAACACAGTTAATTAACATCCTGGAACCTTTCCTTCTCTATGTGTGTATTTGAACGTGTGCGTGCCCACCCACAGTACATACACAGTCCTGTTTCCTGTTTCTTTCCAGTGGCTGCTGTGTTATAACCTCTTATGCCATCTTAGAGATGCTAGCTGCGCCACTGTTGTCGGACATGTAGATATTTCCGGTGATGCACCTGATGAATGTCTTTGGACAAATCATTTTCAGGGTTTAGGCTTTTTTTCCTTAGACTGTGTTCCTAGATGAGTAATGACTAGGTCAAAGGTCCAGACACAGATAGATATGTATATAAAATAGGCACATGATTTATTTTCGTATTACACACCCCTGCCTCCGCAACTTTTAATTCGACAAAGGCTATAAAGAGTAGGAAGCCCTTGATTCATTTTGGCAGCTGTGTCTTCAAAACGGTGGCCCTGGGCTGGATTCCCTCCTGCTGGGCACACAGCGCTTATTCCCTGCATGCGGGCAGGTCACTGAAAAACCAGCCAAACCAACAAAAGGCCAAGAAGAGGCATCCTTTTATTTTAAAGTACATCAAGAAAAAAAAGAAAAAATCTGTAATGAGGTTGCCCCTATTTCCTTGTATTTATTTACTGGTTATAGTTTATGTATTACAGAACGGTGTGGTTGAGAATTGCCGTTCAGGAGTGATTTGAGCGGACTGCAGTGGCAGCGGGGGGGCGGTGAGCATCGTAAGCCATGAGCTGTGTGACGTGCAGTTGTCACCCCTGGGGGGTGGGATTCGTGGGCGAGCGCTCAGAAACGTTTAGTCGCTGTCATTATTTACTTATGTTGTCATTTTTAGGGGATGGTTAGAAAACTGCTTTTTTTTTTTTTTTTTGGCATGGAGAGGAAACATGGATTAAGGGGCATAATTTAATTGAACTCAGATATATGTAGGGCTGTCCTTTTGAATAAGAAATAGACCTTGGGCTTCCCTGGTGGCACAGTGGTTGAGAGTCCGCCTGCCGATGCAGGGGACACGGGTTCGTGCCCCGGTCCGGGAAGATCCCACATGCCACGGAGCGGCTGGGCCCGTGAGCCATGGCCGCGGAGCCTGTGCTCCGCAACGGGAGAGGCCACAGCAGTGAGGCCCGCGTACCGCAAAAAGAAAAAAAAAAAAGAAATAGACCTCATGTGACTCAGAGGACAGAAGTGGTACTCAGAAGTAGAAGGTGCTTGTTAACATCTGTTATTATCAACAGAATGAAATTTGGTTTGTCAGAAGCAGATTGAATTTCATTGAAAGGAGGAAGTTTCTAACATTTTGACTTCATAAGTTATTATGAGTTGTACCCGATTTATAAAGCCCTTGGCACCGTGCCTGGCATGTAGTAGGCACTCAATATGTAAAACACAGCTATTTTAATTTTACTTTTTTAGTAAATTAGTGGCAGAGTTGGAACTAAACCCTTTTCTGACTCTGTTCAGTGTTGTTTTAGCAACACCATAGGGCAGTGCTTCTGAAGTTTACCGTGCGTGTGAATTTCCTGGGGACCTTGTTAACGTGAAGATTCTGGCTCAGTGAGCCTGGCACGGGGCCCGGGAGTCTGCATTTCTCACAAGCTTCCGTTGCTCCAAAGACTACACTTGGAGTAGCAAGACCGGGGTAATCCCGAAAACCTGTTGGTTCCAGCTGTCATTTTGAAAAAAGTCTTGATTCATTTGTTTGTCCTTTTAGCAGTGTTGTCTTGAGCACCAGGCCCTGGTGTTAAAGCGGAACACAGACAGGGTCCCTGCCCCATGGAGTCCGTGACGCAGAGAAGCGGAGGTTGGCGAGGGCCTGGAGGAGTGCACGCGGGCGTGGAGACGGGCCCGGCCTCCTCTTGTGAGGTCAAGGGAATTTCCTCCTGGAGGAAGCAGGGGGCCTGCCAAGGTCAAGAAAGAATAGCTCAAGAGGCAGGGGGAGAACCAGGCCAGTGAAGTTGTTAGGGAGCGATGCTTAGGGAGGGCATGCTTATAGTGCCACGTACTCTGAGAAAACAAGAGAAAAACGGCTGGGAACTCATTCGTGACCTGGGCAGTTTCAGCAGAGTGAGGGGGACCCCGAGGCCACGTGGTGGTGGATGGAGGAGCGGTGAGGGTGGGGAAATGAAGGCGGCGCCGGTGGGCGCTTGGAGGTGTGGGGCACTTCTCCAGGTGGTGGTGGGCCTGAAACAGAGCCCACCTGCAGTGACGCATCAGTCTCTCTGGGATCTTGCCTTTGAAAACTGATAAGTCACATATGACATGCGGGACATGTCTCTGTGTCCACAGCATTGAATTTCTTGATCATTGCTGGAAACTGGCTTTTAATTTTAACCACGTCTGCAGAGGTAAAGAGAAATGAAAGAGAATTTTTATTTCAGTATATTGAGTCATGGTGTGGTTGTGGTTCTGGAATGAAGGGTAACTCGGATGCTTTTGCTGCTCCAACTGGAATGACACGGGTTCACAGTACTCTGCTCGGCTAAAGTTCAGGGAGACCCTTCTCTGATCCACAGGGTTGGGGAGGAGCGCCTTGCTGCCTCTTCCCTAATCCCAGGAGGGTTGGTTCCATCTCCTGCATTAGAAGGTCTTGGGGAGCTTTCATGAGCAGTTTCTGGAGGGCGTTGGCAGCAAAAGCCACGTTGCAGAAGGTGAGGATGGAGAGTTCTTTCAAGAAGCTTGGAGAGAGGCAGGCAGCACTCAGTGACCAGAGCTGCTGATGAACCAGGAAGGAAAAACGTAGTTATTTTGCTCTTTTTCAAATGAGAGCGGCTTTTCCCCAGCATTTTATGATGAAGAAATTCTAGCAAAGTGAAAAGAACTTCATGGTGGACACCCATATACTCACCCCTTAGATTCTACTATTAACCGTTCCCACCAGCCATCATATCTTTTTGATAAATTTTAGTATAAATCACAAACATCAATACGCTTCCCCCTAAATACTTCAACATGTATATCTTTTCCTTCAATATGTTTATAGTTATTTTTTCTTTTAAGTTTAAATTTACGCACGATGAAATACAGAATTCGTAAGTCTTTGTTTGCTAAGTTTTACAAATGTATGTACCTGTGTAACCCAAACTTCTATCACGATCCCTCGTGTCCCTTCTAGTCAATTCCCACTCGCCCCCGCTCCAGCCGCTCTTCTCATTTTCTTCCACCATTAGTTTTGCCTGTACTAGACTTTCATAGAAACGGAATCATAAAGCATCTTCTCTTCTGTGTGAAGCTGCCTTCACTCAGCGTGTTTTTGAGATTCATCCATGCTGTTACGTGAATGAATAATTTGTTCCTTTTTATTGCTAAGTAGTATTCCATTGTATACATATATTCTAATTTCTTTGTTCGTTCTGCTATTGATGTACATTTGGATTGTTTCAGGTTTTGGTTATTATGATAAAAGCTGATGTGAACATTCATATACAAATCTTTTTTTTTTTTTTTTGTGCGGTACGCGGGCCTCTCACTGTTGTGGCCTCTCCCGTTGCGGAGCACAGGCTCCGGATGCGCAGGCTCAGCGGCCATGGCTCACGGGCCCAGCTGCTCCGCAGCATGTGGGATCTTCCTGGACCAGGGCACGAACCCATGTCCTCTGCATCGGCAGGCGGACTCTCAACCACTGCGCCACCAGGGGAGCCCTATATACAAATCTTCATGTGGACATATGTTTTCATTTCTCTTGATGAATACCTAGGAGGGGAATTCCTGGGTCATAGGGTTATTAGCTTTATAAGAAATTGCCAGGACTTCTTCTAAAGTAGTTTAACATTTTATACTCCCACCGACAAATTTGATTGTCCTAGTTGGTAACTTGAGCATGTTTTAATAATGAGGGAAGAAACCAACAGAGGGAGAGAAGTTCCTCATCCGTATTCAGAAACTTTTATGCCTTAGGAAATACACTTACACGTGTTTAGCGTATTGAATGCTTGATAGTGTAGTAAGATTTGTAGACTCATCAGTCCTCTTTGATCCTGATTAGGATGGTTGGGTTGAATGTATTCTGATCCTGGGAAGTTTTCTGTAAAAGACTTTGTGAAGTCAGTTTGCTTTGTTTTGTTTTTCTTCTTCCAAAAAAAGGTTTCTTTTAGAAGGAAGATCAGAAAAGTTTAACTTGGGCTGGGAAAATTATGGGGTGATTGACTAAATGTGGGAATTCATGAAATCACGGTATGGAGATAGAACCTTAGATACGTCGTATGTACAACATGCCCAGCAGGCGGCTGGGACTCAGCTCATGTTTTAACTCTGTGGTGCAGTGGTCACTACTTCATTGGTGCGATGCGTTTTGGTACAGTTTTTGAAACAGCGTTGGCTACCTTCCCTCTCACTTTTTATTTGGTTAATCCGGGTGTCTCGTGCCTAGAATTTTCCCTCTTCCAGAGAGCTGAGATCTGGCCCCGTTGAGAACACTGAACTGTCTGTTCTGTAGAACGCAAACTGCAGAAGCTTTGGGGTTTACACTTCTTCAGAGCATTAGGGATTTACGCAGTCTTTAGAAATAACTCTCTTTCATTTTCAAAAGCATAAAGTTATTGTCAGGGAAGCTGGATACTCTACTCATTAGCGATGAGGACTTTTTTGTCAGCAAAATGGCAGTGTGGCTGAGACTGCCCATCTCAGATGTGTGACAGTACAAAAAGAGGTTTATCCCCTGGGCTAAATGGAAGGGATGCATAAATTGGACACACCGTAAATTTCATTTACTGCTTTCTCGGTATTTGATAGTTTCAATTCCATCAATAGCTGTTTTCCAAAATCTTGTTACTTTTATATAATCTGAAAGTGAATTCAGCAATGGCAGGGATGGGAGCAGCACAGCGGACAGCACAGTCAATTTCCAGCAGCTCAGGAAGGCCCTGCGAGGGCAGGGGGAAATGGCTTTCCTTATTTCTTGGGGAATTTGTCCTTAAATTATGCATGATCCCAGGCAGCTGTGTGTGATTTGCCAGAACTAGCAGCTCTGACTTCGGCTAATTTTTATTTCATGGCTTTGGCATTTGTCTCTGCCTCTTTTTTTGGTTTGTTTTTTGTTCTGCATCTTTTAAAAAAGACATCACCGACTTATTCATACATATTCATGCTGCACTCATTTTTGGGTTGCATTTTCACACCATTCCATGCTCCATGTAGCTTCTGGCTAGCAAGGAGGACGAGGACTCAAGCAGAATTGGAGAGGATGACAAGAATAATCTGCTGAGTGGCGAGCGTCTGGAGCAGAGGAACAAGGTAGGAACATCTGCCCCTCTCTGTGCCCAAGCCCGCCTCCAGTCTGGAACGAGTCCGACGGGTTTTCTGTTCCTTCCATCTGTGTGGAGTGCCTGCCGTGTGCCAGCGGGGAGCAAAAAGAGGAGGTCTCTTCCTTTCTGGAAGTTACAGACGGGGTGGTAGAGCCAGTCATGAACCAGGAAAACAAACATATAGTTGCAAATAAAAACGAGGCTGTTGCAGGAGAGTCGCAGGCATTGGACACTGGGCCTGGGCAGCTCTTCAGAGCTCTGACCCAACGCATTCATTTTACGCATTGGAAACTGAGGCCTAGGAGGGGAGATGGTTTATCTGGGGCTCAGAGTAAGGCAGTGACAGAGTTGGGAACAGAGCCCTTGTCTCTGGACTGCTGTGAACTCCCAGATCATCTGTGTGTAGTGTAAGGAGCCACTGATAGAACCAGACTTTCCTCCTCTGGGTCCGTCTGCAATCTCCTGATCTGAAACCCAGCTTAGTGTCATCTGGGCGGTGTTGAGAATTTCACTCCAGGCACACTGAGGCTGAACATTTGGAGCAGATATTCTCCAGGGTTGAAAGAACCGTAAACACTGGATGTGGTGGGAGACAGGAGGCTGCAGATCGGGCGTTTGTGGCCTTCAGGGTGTTCAGGTTCGTGGAGTCTTGAGTGAGAGATCATTCTCATGAGCGTTTTGGACAGCAAAGCAGTTAAAAGTGGGGGCTCCGGAATCAGGTCTGATTTTGAGTCTTGGTCACGATCTCTGTGACCTTGCGTTAACCCTTGCTTAACCCCCAAGTCCGAGTTTCCCCATCAATGAAGATAATAACACCACTTCCTGGTTAGAATTGTTGTGATACTTAAAGAGAAGGTATGTACTAAGTGCTCAGTAAGTGGTAGCAATTGCTCTTTTTATTATTATTATATTCTAGACTTTTCCTTCGGTGGAGGTTGCTTATTTAGGTGGATTTAATGACTAGATTGGTGGCAAACAAGACCCTATAAATGACAGCTCATCTGTGTGGGTCTTGTCTTCCGTTTAAAAATCTTAATCATTTTACACATGTGGAGAGAGGGGTGTAATGGCCAGTGTGTATATCACCAGCAGTAATGAAGTCAAGAGGAGTTATTTATAGACTGATAGAAGAAATTTACAGCTTTGGAAAGTGAGAGAAGGAATGCTAATTGCAGCACCTCAAGACATGCCCAGCACAGGCTTTAACTAGATGTTTCCTTGGTACCACTCCTCTGGGACCTTCAGCGACCCAAGAAGGTGGATCTGTGAAGAACACGTCTCCATGGGAATTAGGAACTCTCCACCGTCCTGATGAGACAAATCAAAGTCACAGTAATGAGGATGTGTCTGTAAAGAGGTTGCTTTCTGATATATAATGAGGAGGATACATTGCAAAAAGCATATAATAAATGTCCAAAGCATTGTTAATGGCAGTTAACAATGTTCCGGACCCTTCTTAGAAAGAATTTACAGGAAGTAGGCCGTGGGCTGAGGGAACACAGCTGTAGCGGGTAAGACACTGCGCCAGGAACTTAAGTGGGCCAGCCATCTCATTTTGTTCTCGTAGCCGCCATGGGAGGTGGCGTTACTGTGCCTAGTTACGGATAAGGAAACTGAGGGTGAGAGGAAGTGATGTAAACATCTCCGTGCCCTCAGATGAGCGTGTGTGGACCGCGTGCACCCTCCCTCTCCCCTTTCATTTTCTCTCGGGTCTGCTTGCCCTCACTCATCACTGTTTGTCTCCATCCTCTCTCTCTTTTCCACGTAACCCCCTTCCCCTCCTTTGTAGTCCATTATCTGACCACATACTTTGATTTGCAGATTATGGAGGTCAATTCCAAAGGGGGCTGCAAAAATGGATATTTAAGGCACACAGATTCCAATATTGTAGACTCCGACGGAGCCCACAAATCCGGCTGCCCCGGAGACCAGAGTTTGGAAGAAGGCGAGCTCCTGAGCCTGCTCGCCCCTCTCTTCAGCGAGAAGGCCATACGGTTACTGGAATCCAGGTAGACATGGGACCCAGGCACTGCAGTTGTCTCTGGTTTGAGGGGAGAACAAACTCATTTTGCTAAATGGATTTAGATGGCAGTGCTGTGTAATTTACCTGGGAGAGCTCCCGAAATGGCTTGGAAGGAATCTTGCCAGTTGTGCAATTAAGTAATTAGGCTGCCTGCTCCTTGGCCGCGAGGGGACTGCGTTCAGCAAAGCCGCATGCAAGGCCAGCGTAAAGAGGAGAGAGAAAGCTTCCTTCAGGATTGTTCCCGGGAGCCCGGCAAGGGCTGCCTGGCTGTCAGCGCGAGGAATCAGCCCTCCCGAGATCCCTTCCGCTTTCTACAACAGCCTAAAAAACTGCCCCTGTACTTGTGACTCTGCTGTTTCATGTTGAGCTTGAACTACAATTCCCTTCTCATTATATCTGCCGGGAGTCTTTCCTATGTGAGGAGGCACTACAGGGTGTTTTCCTTAAAACGAAAAGGGAGAAATATTCAGTACATTTGTATTTTTAAAATTAGTCCTTCAGGAGCGGATTTCCCTTCTTTCCCAGCCTTTCCAGGCCACTAGCAGCTGCTCTGGGCTTTGGAGCCAGAGGGAGCTGTGCGTGCTTTCCTCTCTCAGTGCCTCCGTTTTTTTGACCACTTCTTGGGGTTGCTGTGAGGAGTGGAAAAAATGCTGTTCAAGGAGAATGGCTGGCACGTGGCGTGTGTTCAGTGAAACCTTTCATTCTCCTCCAGCACAGACAGAGAAAGGGAACCGGTACCACCACCCAGGACGGCTGGCAGGAGCCTAGCGGTTCTCATGTCCTTGGTGGGCTCAGCCTCGTACACATTTTTTCAGCTTTAAAAAGGACGGTAGTGTTCTGTGAGCTCCGGGGGGCCACCCTCCCCAGCCCCTGACATCTGCTTAACATTTTTCTAGCATGAGTCCTCATGCTAGGGGGACACGCCCAGTGGCTGTTCTGGTATATTATCACAGGGAGTTGGGTGACCATAATGACACTTGAGAAATGGAGGATTTCCTCGGCATCAGGGGCTCCTGTGTTAAGAGTTAAAAGGTGCACCTCGCTCTCTCTGAGGACCGCCTAGGAATGCACTTGGGTGATGTGACCTGGGAAAGTAACAATGCACTGGTGGGAGTGCAGGGAATTGGGGCCCACATGCTCCCTACTGGCAGGGAGGAGCTTTTCAGCCCCAAATCATTGTTGTCATGCCAGCCCGTGGCCTCAGAGCTTCCAGTCTTTCAGTAGAAGCCCCAAATTTGTATGCTCAGTCTCCTGATTTTTGAAAATTTAGACTTCATTACAGTTTTAAAGAAAGCGCTTTACGCGCTGACCCTCCGCAGGCAAGCTTGGGACATCAGCCATTCAGTTACCTGTTCCCTTGTAGGCGTCTGTTCCATCAGCTTCCGGGCCATCGTGGGCCAGCTCTAGTGTTAGAAAAGGCTTTCTTAAATGCTGGCCGGCATCTGCTGCTCTGATCCTGCTTTCTGTGCAGCTGCCTTTCTTGGTGCACCGCTGAGCCCCAGGACGGCAGGTTCACGGCTCCGAGGGCCCTCCTGAAGGCCCAGCTGTGGTCTTTTAAAAAGACCGCTTGGGTAACTAGGATTCTCATTGGCCAGGGAAACACTAATTTTCTGCCCAGATAGTCTCTCCAGGAGTTCGGTGTTTTGATCCCCCCAAAAAGCAGGGTATTAGAGTCAGACAGACCTGTGCTCCGGTCCAGCTGTACCGTTTAGACCTTGGGACTTATCTCCCCATCTTGGTTTCCTCACCTGTAAAGTGGGGGGTGATGATACTTAGCAACCCTGTAGGGATCTTGTGAGAATGAAATGAGATAATGTGTGTACATAGGGACCCAGGTTGGTATTAAGTGGGGCTTTGGTGATATTACTGCTTAAAATGTGCCTGGCCAGTCACTCCTACCCTTTCCCCATTACCCTCAGGTAAGATTCATACCATATGCAAGATACGTCGGCCAGCCCGTGATTCAGGCCTCCGTGTTCATCGCTGAGCCCATGTCTGATACCCTGGTGTGGAGCGCGATAGGCTTAGGCCCGAGACTTAGGCCTCTGAGCTCTGCCACCCTCTAGCCGTCCACGCTGGGGCCTAACAGGCTAGCAGAGTAGCTGGGCCCCAGGAGTAAATCTGATTCAACTTACCCATCCACTGGGATGGAATAAGGAAGCAGCTTAGCCTGATTAGCTGTCTTGCACTTGACCAAGCCGAGCACTCGTTCACCGGGGCTGGAGTGAAGGGTCAGCTCGTGGAGGATGGGCTGTCTGGCCCTGCTCTCCCACGGTCTTCACCATGTGTGTGGTTCCCAACCCTCCCTTCACATGCTTCTGGTTCGTTTGCCCCATTCCCTAGAGGACATGGTTTAGGATTTATTACCTGTTTCAGTCTTTGTAGCTAAACTTAGGTGTGACATTGGAAAAAGTCTAAAGGGGGGCCCTTGGGGGTTTTTTTTTTTCAAGGCTAGTATTGCATTCTTGAGCCATACCTAGTAGAAGCAGAGAAGCCAACTCTCCTGAAAAACCTGGGTCTGCTCTTCTGGGCATGGTGAAGGGACAGGTAAGGGACCACCAGAGCGTGGAGCTGGCGAGGGGTCTGAAGGAGTTAGCAGAGAAAGACCCAAGGAGACTCGGGTGTGCGGGCTGCGGGGAGAGGACACGGCGAGTGCTTGCAGGCAGATCCTGTGTTACGGAGGGACTGGGTCTGTGGGCTTCAGACAGAAACCCGGGGTCCTCCTCGATCCTTCCCTTTCCTTCACCTCCCAAACCCAAGTCCTGACCCTTCACCTCCCAAATGCGCTCCTCCCATCCCTGTCTCCTCCTCTCCACTCCTCGCTTCCGTCACACTTCTCTGGCATCCCTGCAGTTGCCTTCTAACTAGTCCCCTGCAGCCATCCGTCCCCCTTCCAGGCTGTTTTCCATACTGTATCCAGAGCGGTTACTTAAAATGCAGTGAAGTCACTCCTCTGCTTAAGACCACTCGGAGACGCTCCGTTTTTCTTGGGACCAGAATCCTTAGCGCAGCCTGCCAGGCCCCGTGTGATCTGGCGACCCCCTCCTTCGGCTCTGTTCACACCGTCCCCGGCTTGCTTTCTGTGCTTTGCCCTGGAGCACAGTCCTTCCAGTCCCTGGAACGAGACCCCTTTCATCTCGTTTCAGAGCCCGGGCACATGCTGGTCCCTCCGGATGGGCACTCGCGGTTGCTTCCTCTGCGCTCCCCTCCCCTGAGCAGGGCAAGGTCGTCAGCTGGGGAGGGGAGAAGAGAAGCTGCCGGGCGGTGCTGAGCGCCCGTTTTGAAATGAGTGACGATCAATACAAAGTGTGACCCCTCCCGAGGACGCCTGTAGCACGAGTAGCTGACCAAGCCCAGGTCTGAAAGCAGGGTTGGATGGGACAGGTGAGGGGTTACCTAGGCCTCTTCATCTCAGTCCAAGTGCTTCCATACCGTTTGCTTCACTTATCAAGGTCAACTCCAGTTTGCAAGTTGTGAATCCAGTGGCCAGAGTCCGCTTTCCCACAGCGGTGGCCACGCTCTCCGGCCTCTGTTCACAGCTCCCCTCTCTATTTTCCTTCTCCCTCACTGGCCTCTCCTCCTCAGTCTCCTGTGCTGGCTCCTCTTCCTCTGCCGGATGCTGGACGCTGGATGTTGTAGTGTCCCGGAGCTCCGTTCTAGCTCCCTTTCTCTCTCTGTACCTCCTTTCTCCACGGCTGCAGAGTATGCTGTGTGACTTCCAAATTCATACCCACGGCCCAGACTCCCCCCTTCAGATCACACGGTCAGCTGCCTACTTGCTGTCTCCTCTTGTGTGTCTGACAGGCGCTTTCAACTCTAATCGGTTTATTTTCTTTTATTTTTTTTAATTTTTAATTTAAACAAATGTATTGATTTCTTTATTTTTCGCTGCATTGGGTCTTCGTTGCTGCGCGAGGGCTTCCTCTAGTTGGGCTACTCTTCGTCATGGTGTGTGGGCTTCTCATTGCGGTGGCTTCTCTTGTTGTGGAGCAGGGCTCTAGGCACGCGGGCTCAGTAGTTGTGGTTCGTGGGCTCTAGAGCGCCGGCTCAGTAGTTGTGGCGCACAGGCTTAGTTGCTCCGCGGCATGTGGGATCTTCCTGGACCAGGGCTCGAACCTGTGTCCCCTGCGTTGACAGGCGGATTCTTAACCACTGCGCCACCAGGGAAGTCCCTCTAATTGGTTTAAAACCCAACCCCTGTTCTAATGTGCTTCTCTGCTGTTCTTCCACGAGTCACTTAATAGCACTGCTGTGGCCGAAAGTGTAGCTTCCACAATCCTCATAACTATCAGTAAGTCCTGTTGTTCCACCTGGAAAATGTATCCCTAATCCACCCACTCACGTCTCTACGGCTTCCCTGTTAGTCCAGCTTAGTCCACGCTGTCACATCTCGTGCCTGGACTCCAAAAGCACAGCCTTCTAAATTGTCTCCCTGCTTCCGTTTTTGCCTCTCTGTAGCCATTCTCCACAGAGGAGCCAGAGCCAGCTTTCAAAAACTTAGATGAGATTATGTTTCTTCTGTGCTTAAAGCTTTCCACTGGCTTTCCGTTACCTTTAGAGTAAGATCAGAGCTCCTTGGCCTGGCCTCTGCCTGTTTCTGTGTCTCTATCAGCTACCTCTCTTGTTCACACTCACCTTTCTGTTCCTCCGTCATCCAAGCTTGTTCTCACCTCAGAGCCTTTGCAGTAGCAGTTCCCGCTACCTGGCACACTCTTTTCCCGGGATGTGGTGGTGTCTCAGCTCTGTGGAGAGGCCTTTCCTGACCACTTTGTCTAACAAGAATCCCTGCTTCTACACTTTGCCTCAGGACTGCCGCCCTCCTCCCCTCCTTCTCGTCCCGCCTTCCTTGTACTTCTCCTTGCCTTGCACTGTCTTATTCAGTTACCCGTGTCTGTATGGATGTCTGTCTCCTCAATGAAACGTCAGCGCCATGATTCGTTTTCACCATGCATTTCCACCGCCTTACGTGACAAATGGGAGAAGCTCGATGAATATTAGAATGAATGTGCAGACTATTAGAAGCTCAGCATCATAGCAGAAGGTTTAAGTTTAGAAAACTAGAAAGAATGCAGTGCTTCTTTGGAGTCAGAAAGTCTGCGTCTGCAGTCTTCGCTCCGCCACTTCGCTGGAGGATCTTGAATATTCACGAGCCTGTGTTCTTCATCTGTGAAAGGGGGTCAGTAACAACCCCCATCTCGGTCTTACTGTGAGGACTAAAGCTATTTAGTGTATTTAAGGGACCTGGCACACCGTTAAGTGCTTAGTAAATGTCAGTTCCTTTCCCCTTATGCCTTCTATGTGGCAAAGATGCTCAGGTTATATAAACAACGTTTGGGCCTCTGACAGGACCCTCGGACTGAACCATTGAAAAGGTCCTGATTATGGCGATAGCTTAATGAATCTGCTGTTCAGATTTCTAGCAGAGAAACACTTGAAATGTTAGCAGCTCTGCCACTTTAGTATATTATAATGGCCTCTTTTTTTTTTTTGCGGTACGCGGGCCTCTCACTGCTGTGGCCTCTCCCGTTGCGGAGCGCAGGCTCAGCGGCCATGGCTCACGGGCCCAGCCGCTCTGCGGCATGTGGGATCTTCCCAGACCGGGGCACGAACCCGTGTCCCCTGCATCGGCAGGCGGACTCTCAACCACTGCGCCACCGGGGAAGCCCTATGATGGCCTCTTTCACCACCTTTTACTACCCGTTTGTAAGTCTTTTTTCCTGGATTTTATTGTGTGTTGTTTGGTAGTGAGTAATGGTCCTCCTTTGGCTAGCTCAGTAGCAACTGTTATTATTTTCAATCTGTATTAAGGGAAGGAGAGGAAAGGAAAATTTAGTTTAACATGCTTGAAATACCAGAAATATTGTTTTGAACTCTGGGTTTACTAAATTTTAAGATGGTTTGTGTAGTTTAGATGATCCCATATTAGAAGTGAAAAGTGTACCACACGTTTTAATTTTGTTTTTCATACTTTGAGTTTTTCCCCTGTTTCAGTGTGCTGTAGCTGTTTAAGTTGACTTAAATTGATTCTGCCCCAGAGCTGGACGTTAGGAATCCAGGTACGAGTTAAGGCTTCATCCCTGCCCTTAGAGGGCTCGGTGGGAAGACAACATGAGGGCACCTGTCACTTCCGGTGGGAACAAAGATACAGAGGAAGGGGAGGCCAAGGTATGTTAAGGCAGTCCGTCGTTCCGGTCTCTGACAAGGTTTTTTGAAGTAATGCAGGCAAGAGAAACTGCAGAGAGGAGAAGGATCTAGCACTGATGAGGGCCTCTTCTCTCCCCCGTCTCTCTCCTGACTCCCCGCCCCCTCCTGACCACATCTTCTTTTCCCAGAAGATAGCAACAGCTTTCCAGCTGGCCCTCCCTCAGTGCTTGCCTCCCCTCCAGTCTTCTTTTTTACAATTTTCTGTCTCAGTTTTATAACTTCCTCTCATTTTTATGAGTCTCTTTTATTTTTTAGATGATAGACACGTACTTATTTTAGGTCTTCTTCAGATTGCTTTATTGTTTTTATTTCCTCGAGTGTGAACTCTCTCCTCTGTCCGATTGCTGTCTTTCATAACAGTGGATTTTGTTTGCAGCAGTGGTTTGTGTCAGCAGCCCCGCTCCGCCCGCCACCCTTGCTCCTCCCTGTGCAGTGCTTTTGAAGTTGCCTTGACTTGTCTCTCTAGGTCTTACTTTAGGGGCGTGAAATTTGCGTGGGTCTTCTTCCAACCGTGGGAGTTAAATTTCCGCTTTCTGCGGATGCCCTCTTTATCATGGCAGTGGGTCTCCTCCTCTGTTTCTGACCTTCGGATACATCTTATTTGATTCTGAGTCCTGTAGTGCACCTTGACCATTTTTTTGTCTTGTCTGTTTTGCTGCCATTTACGTATGTTTAGAGCAGATGGTAGGGGCTCTTGAGTGTACTCTCACCACTGTCCTGACGGGAAATCTCTCCATTCATTCTCTACACACGGCACGTGTGTGGCCATGCACTCCGTCACACAGAGCCTCCCAGTGGCTCTCCTTTCCTTAACATGGCTGAGGTCTCCCTGCCTCACCTTCCAGCCTCGCCTCCCCGCTCTCCACAGTGTGTCTTGACTCCGTTCATATTGTTTTCCATGCTTAGAAGGTTCCATTTCCCTTCCCCCAGCTAACCTCTCATCAACTCTAGAAGCCCTTTTTTGGCGTTCTTCCTGCCACCCCCAGTCTGGACACCCTGGGATGCTTGCCCGTAAGCTTCCCAGACTTCCACGGCGCCTGTGTTTCTCTTTTTAGCCTGTGGAGTAGTGACTTGTTTACACAACTGCCTCTAACACCAGGCCCCGCAGGCTCTTCTGCAGCCCCAGCGCCCATTATAGTGTCTGGCCCAAGAAACACACTCACGAGGGATTCTTCTGGAACCGCTCCAGAGTCTTCTACATGTTGGCTTAGTTTGAGTTCCTGGGAAAGCAGAGCCTGAGGTAACCACTTGGGTACAAGTGGTTTATTTGGGATGTGACTCCAGGCAGAAGGAAGGAGGGATGAGGGAGACTAAGGTAGGGATGGAGGCAAAGCCAGGAAGGCTGCCTTATGATCTGGTTGCGACTGTGGGCAGCCGGGCCTCCGCCCTGCCAGCCACCCTCTGAGGGACGGTGTAGACCCTGCGTCAGTGCTGGCCCTCTGGAGGACGGGAGACTGGGACATTCACCCAACAGCTCTCTTCCTCCACTGGTTAGGGTTTCCCCTGGAGCTATAAATGGGTCCGCGCTTGCCCGCTGCCCTGCTGGCCGGCTCAGAGAGCTCTGGGAAAGGGCCCAAGGCAGCAGAGAGATGCCGTGGGCGCTGGCGGAGGGACTGTCTACAAGAGCTGTCAACGCAGTTGCAGCTGAAATCCCAGGGAGGCCCAGGCCATGTGGCAAAGGGGCGTGAGAAGCATCTGCTACCCATACATGCTCTCGTTTAATCCTCACAGCGTCCTGTGGAGGAAAACTCACCTTGCTTTCCAAGAATCACAGAGTTAGAATCTGAAACCATTTTGTCTGATTTCAAAGCCACTGCTCTTTTTATCCAGAGCAGTTCCCAGCATCCCTTCATTCGATACCTTTGCTGAGCACCGACTGTGCACCCTGATGGACCAGGTGGCTCATGGATCTGCCAGGTTGGCTAGATTCATCCAAAGCCATACTTGCCCCTGGATGTAGGGATGGGCCCAGGGGGGTGGGCGGACCTTGCAATCGTCATGCATACCTTATGACTCTGTTTGCTCTTCCGAAGCCCAGCCTGCGTCCAGGTAGCTGTGTGCCCCCCTCACTTGCTGTGCACCTGCGTCAAATCAGTTCTCTCCTTCTCCTCCATGAAGGAGACATGTGGTACCTACCTGGTGTGGTTGTTCTGAGGTGACCTGGATAGCGTAGTTGGCGTGGGTCCTGGCACGTGGCAAGTGCTCACTGTGTTTAAATTCAGCAGAATCTGGGCCAGAATCGATGGGGAAAACTTAGGAAAGTGGGTCGGTGACAAGGCCATACCAGAAAGCTGAGTCCTCCCACTTCCCTCCCTTTTGGAAAAACAGGCCGGACCTTCTGAAAGTGCTCCGAGAACTGCTTCTGGAACAGATATGCTTGAGAGAGCAGGAAGCTTCGGGAGAACACCTTGACGGTAAAACGGAGAAGACACTTGGGCAGATGGCCGTTCAGCTAAGAGGTGAACTCGGGCATTTCATCCAAGCCAACTTGTCTTCCAAGCCACGTGATGAACTCGGGTGGCCTCCGGGAGCCCAGCTAGCAAAGGCGGCAGAGGCGTCCAGGGTGGAGCAGAAAGATGCCTCCGTGCAGACCATGGCTGTGGAGGGCGACACGGTCAGATTCGGACACGAGGGCACGACAGAGCCTTGGGAAGAGAAGCCAACAGACGCCGTATTCGGCGCTGAGCCTCAGCCGGAGAGCTTGTGCAGGATGCCGGGGCGGCAGGCCGCTGCCCTCTCCTTCCCCAGGGGGACCGAAAAAGTAAGTTTCCCCACATATTACTTACTTAGTTACTTACTAAATATAGACCAAAAACTTAAAAATCACCTCCGATCCCACTGCTTTTTAAAAATTTGTATGAGGTCTGGTGTCTCTCTCTGCCTGTACTTAATCTTGGCCTCTACCTGGAGGTGTGTGTCCATCCTGAACTTCCCCAAGGTGTTACCAGCATTTCCTCCCTCCCTGTCTCCTCCCCCATCCCAGCCCTCTCTTCTTTATCTATAACTCATGATATCCGTGTGTTTTCATTATAAAAGCAGCGTCATGTGTGTACATCTGTCTGTGGCTTACTGTTCCATGTTATGTATCAGGAACATCTTTCCTTGTAACGGCTGCTAAAATTCCACTGTGGGGAATGTGCCAAAGTTTACATAATTTTCCCCTGTTGATGGACCTTTACTTTTGCCAGTTGCAGTAAAACTGGAATGACCTGACTTTAGGGTAGGGACGAGAACCTAGGTTTTATTTTGTATGGACTTTGTGTCTTAGAGGTACCGTTCTGTGGGCTTTGTCTCCATTCTCTTATCCTTACAACACCCGGCAAAGGTGAGGAAGCCAGGTCCCGAGTGCCCATGGTAGCCAGCTGTGAGGGGCCTGACTGCACAGCCGTGCCCTTTCCCTGGGTCAGGCTCCTGTCTAGCCTGTGCTGGCCCGAGTGGTAGGGTCTGGTTTTGGTGGGTGAATGCCTGCATTTTGCTTCAGTCAAGATCCTTTCTCTAGATGCTTCTCCTCAGATACCATCAAATATGCCAGATTGTGAAAAACCAGACTCTCCTGGCAATGTTTGATCGGACCTTTTACTAAAACCCTCCTGGGGAGGAGGGGTTGGGATTGAGGGGCCCCATAGCAGGGAGATGGGAGCGGCTTGGGAGAGAAGGAGAGAGGTCGTGTTTGTGGTAGGGCTCCAGCGACTGGTCTCCTTGTTTCTGATGGGTGTTTTGTCTCTGAGAAATCAGCTGTGCACACTGCTTCATAGCATCAGAATGGAGAATTAAGTTTATTTTCTGACCAGTAAATTACCACTTTTGTGCATACCAAAGAGAGTTAGATATATCATTAGCAAAATTGCTTTTGATTGTTTTAAATTATGCACCAAAACTGTAATTTCTAGAAAAGGGTTTTCTAAAGATATCAGTAGAGACCAAAAAAAAAAAAAAAAAAAAAAGACACTGCCATTATATCAACAGTACTCGAGATGCAGATTTGTGCAATTTGGCTAGAATAGAGATGCTCTCATCTGCCCCAGCTAGTTTAGTTTGTACCTGTGTATTAGGAAAACTAGATGTTGTGTGTGTGCGTGTGTTTTTTTTCCCCCTGCTATCTATGAGGGAGATAGCATCCTATATTCAGGAAAATTGGATAATCAAATGAACTTAATTTCCCCAAATATATTGAAAAAAATTTTCCATTTGGAATTATCTTCCTGCTGGTATCTTCAAAAGGAAGGCTACTGTGTTTATTTTTTTTAGCATCTGCTATATATGCCAGGATTGTGCTAGATATTCTATTCATGTATCATCACAGTTAATCTTCTCACCAAGCATATTAGTTAGGTAGGTATTACCTACATTTTGCATGTGAAGAAATATAAGCTCTGAAAGGCTCAGAAAATTGTCCAGAGTGACTCAGCCGTTGAGAGGAGTAGCAGGGGCGTAAAGTGGAGTCTGGTTTTAGAGGCAGACAGGGATATTGTAACCCCACCTTTCTCAGGAAGGGAGGAGCTCTCTTACCACCAGTTTGGCCTCCGGTCTATGCAACGTAGAAGAAAATTTAATGGTCTTCTCTGTGGTCTTTGGTTAGTCAGGGAATCAGTAATCCTTGAGCTTAGGCTAGAACTGTGGCATCCTGTTAAAAAGAACATCTTTGCCGCCCAGGGGCGAAACGGGGAGACGGGACATACTTCTGGTTGAGTTACAGGGGCGAGATGCTGGGCTGTACAGATACACCTGTGATTGCATTGGGCCTCGCCGCTCACCTGCTCTGAGTCCTTGGGTCAGTCACCTGACTTTCAGTGGCTCCAAGGGGATCATTGTGACCTGGCACCCGGGGCTGGCGTGCTGGCTCGGTGAGGCCATGTGTGGCGAGTGCCTCGGGCCGTGTCCGTGGTAGGAGCTCAGGGTATGTGCATTCCTGTCCCCCGTCCGTCCCCAAGTGAGAAGTTCCAGGATGCCATCTTTAATAAGGTGGTAGGTGGGATTCTGCTCGGCATCCATAAGGTAGCATTTTGTGTGGTGTTATTTTGGAAGCGGCGTTAGGGTGACTGACGGCAGCCTTCCAGCCTGAAATTGGCTTTGGCATTTGTGCACTTGCAGCTATCTTCTCTGCTGCCATATGACACACAGATTTGGATCCAAGAATAGAGATTGGTGGAGTCTGAGGACCAAGCAAGTGACTTATTTTCCAGCCCTTTTTGATGAGGCGTCCACCTCCTCCCGAGTGGTCCCTGACACCACTGCAGACTGTTCTTGTCCTTGAACCTGTTCTCTCCTCTTGCGTGGAATTTCAGGGCAGAAGGGCTCTCACTTTTCTTAACTGGGCAGTAGAGGTTGAAGAGCTAGCCTGAGGCTCAGCTCTCCAGCCTTCTTATTGTATGACACTGGGCTGGTTGTTTGACGTCTCAGTTCTTCATCTGGAGAAAATAGGTATAATAACTTCTGTAATCCTCTGAGCTCTGGGAATGCATAGTTCACCCGAGGATTACGGGAGTACATGCTTGAAAGCATTTGACATCCTAGAACGTGCAACAAGGGCTCCTTCTTCTTCTTTGCTTCTTGAGAGGCTTTGCTGATTTCCTCCTTTCCAGGGTCCCAACCATTATCGACTACAATCAATTTTAGAACATAACCTTATCCCAGGCAGAAGCCCCAAGCCCATTAACAGTCACTTACTATTTCCCCCAGCTGCGCACCCCTAGCTGAAGGCGGCCACTAAGCTTTTTTCTGTCTTTATAGATTTGCCTGCCCTGGATATTTCATATAAATGGAATCACGTAGTCTGTGATCTTTGGTGACTGGCTTCTTCCACTTAGCATAACGTTTTCAAGGTTCGTTCGCGCTGTAGCAGGTATCCGTCGTTCATTTCTTTTTATGGCCCAGTGATAGTCCGTTGTATGGATACCACATTTTATTTATCCATTCATTTGTTGATAGACATTTGGGCAGTTGCTACCTTTCGGATATTATGAGTAATGTTGCTGTGAACATTCATGTACAAGTTTTTGTGTGTACCTGTGTTTTTATTTCTCCGGGGTATAGATCTAGGAGTGGAATTGCTAGGTCATGTAGTAATTCTGTCTAACGGTTTGAGGAACTGCCAGACTCTTTTCTAAAGTGGCTGCAGCTAGTTTCCACCAGCATGTGAGCGCTCCAATTCTGCCGCATCCTCACCAGCAATTGTGATTATCTTTTCGATTATAGCCATCCTAATGGGTAGGGAGTGGTGGTATTTCATTATGATTTGATTTGCATTTCCCTGATGATGAATGATTTAAACATCTTTTCATGTGCTTATTGACCATATGTATATCTCCTTTTGAGAAATGTCTTTCAGATCCTTTGCCCATCTCTTAACTGAGTTATTTGTGTTTGTTTATTTATTTATTTATGGCTGCGTTGGGTCTTTGTTGCTGCAGGCAAGCTTTCTCTAGTTGCAGCGAGGGGGTGCTACTCTTCATTGCAGTGCGCGGGCTTCTCATTGCGGTGGCTTCTCTTGTTGCAGAGCACAGGCTCTAGGCACGCGGACTTCAGTAGTTGTGGCACGTGGGCTCAGTAGTTGTGGCTTGCAGGCTCTAGAGCTCAGGCTCAGTAGTTGTGGCGCACGGGCTCAGTTGCTCCACGGCATGTGGCATCTTCCCGGACCAGGGATCGAACCTGTGTCCCCTGCACTGGCAGGCGGATTCTTAACCACTGTGCCACCAGGGAAGTCCTAGGCCTCTTAAGTTATTATTTGTATGTTCATTCCACAAATAGATGTTGAGCACCTACTATATTACTAGTTCTTGTGCTCAAAGCTGTGGATAGAGTATGAATAAGAAATGCAGAATCCATGAATTCTAAAGCTTATAGGCTGGTGCAGAAGATAGACAAGGAACAAATAATTGCATAGGCATTTAATTATTATGGTCCTAATCTTTTTCTGAGGAGAATTCTGAGGGGGCAGTGAGTATATAACAGGGAAATCAAGGCCCGTTCTCCTGAGGAAGGCACATTTGATCTGAGTCCTAATGGATGTGTTGGGATTAGTGGGAGAGGTGGGGGTGGGCAAGAAAAAGTATTCTAGGCAGAGGAGATAGCATATGCCAAGGTCCTGAGGAGGAAGGAACAAAGCATTCTGAGGAACTGATAGGAGGTCTCTGTGGCTGCAGTTTGGGGGGGTGGGGAGGGGCAGTAACTCAGGCTGTAATAGTGCACAACATGTGGGCTGTGGTAAAGACTGTGACCTTGGCCATACGAGAACTGGGGAACAATTAAAATAGTTTTAAGCAGGGGCGGGGGTGTGTTGCCTGTTTTGGTGCAGTATGGCAAGTGGGTTAGAAAGGGCAAGAATGAGTGTGGGGAGACACCTCAGGAGGCTGTTTCTGTGGCCTGGATGATAGCTTACAGCATCTTGGAGTTGGGGGGTGGCCGCGGAGGATGAGAAGTGACAGAAGAATTCATAGACACTTTGGGAGTTGGAGTTAGTGGAACCTGGTGAGTGATGCAATTGGGCGAGGTGCATAAAGGGAATTCTATTTTATTTTATTTTATTTCTTATCATCCCCCCACCCCCATCACCCCCACTGCTTTCCCCCCTTGGTGTCCATACATTTGTTCTCTACGTCTGTGTCTCAATTTCTGCCCTGCAAACCGGTTCATCTGTACCATTTTTCTAGGTTCCACATATATGTGCTGACATACGATACTTGTTTTTCTCTTGCTGACTTACTTCACTCTGTATGGCAGTCTCTAGATCCATCCATGTCTCTACAAATAACCCAATTTCGT